AGCTGTGAGGGTGGCGAAGTACCTAGCGACGACGTCAGGCGTGGGGCTAGTTCTTGGAGGGCAGCAGTCTGTCGTACTTACTGGTCACTGTGACTCCTCTTACGCTGACGACGCTGAGACTCACAGGTCTACTCAGGGGTACTGTTTCAGCCTGGGTTCTGGAGCTGTTTCCTGGCGGTCCACGCGCTCCTCTTCGGTCTCGACCTCTACAGCTGAGGCTGAGATCTACGCTGGTGCCATGGCGGCACAGGAGCTGCGTTGGTTGACCTTCTTGCTCACCGACCTTGGTGAGCGGCCGAGCTCTGCACCGACCTTGTTCACTGACAACAAGGCGTCTATTCTCCTTTGTCGAGAGCCACGACTGGAGAGCAGAGTGAAGCACATTCACGTCAGGTACTTTCTTCTGCGAGAGTTGCAGAGGCGTGGACAGGCTCGCTTTGAGTTTGTGGAGTCCGAGGCCAACACTGCAGACATCTTCACCAAGGCGCTTCCGCCTTGTGACCACCAGAGGTGCTGTGTGCAGTTAGGCCTTGTTGACACTGGTTCTCGTGTTGCTTAGGCTTGAGTGTACTGTTTACTTTGCTTTCTATATACCTCTGTTACTTCTTGGACTGGCCTTGTGGCCACTGTTGTTTGTGCTCAGACTGTGTGGTGACGTTGTGATCCACCCTGAGCTTCGTTTCTTGGACTGGTCTTGTGACCGTACTCGTTTGGTTCTGCTAGACACCCCTCACTTAGGCTATGGGGGTGTGTCAAATGTTGTAGCCTATAGTGAGGTTTGTCTTAGGGGGTACAAAACTTAGGGTTAGCTATATGTACCCCAACCAACATCAATGCATCATCCATTCCTCATTCTGACACATTTGTGTACCTAAACTGATTTTCCAGTGTTGAGATTTTTGTGACACTGATTTTTCACGGAACGGTAGGGTTCCCGGTTCGCATCCCTCAGCTGTCTCGTTCATAAAGACTAGACTCTTATACAAATGCATGTAGTGATTGGAACGTCAGGCTTATTTTTTTAGGAACCCTGAAAATTCAGGCTTTTTTTTTAGGAACCCTGAAAATTCAGGCATTTTTTCACAGGGACCCTGGTGCATCAACGTCCCTAAAAGCGAATCTGATCGCCTGCCCGGAAACTTCGGGTGTACAATTTCCCCCTAAAGCAGTTCATTATTGAAATTTTTGGTCGCGTTTGTGGTCGAGGGTACACTGGGATTTGAAATGTTCATCTACTAATTACCGAACAGTAAGTTCAACACGTGTTATTTTGGATTTTTGTGTCACGTTCTTCCGTATCTGATTTTGCTAAGATCAATTGAATTGCGCACTGTGTACGCTTGCGGTTCTGACTGTTGCGACTTGGGCTGTTCGGGCAGATGTCAAAACTTTAAACCATGTCAAGTTGCATCTGGAAGGTAGTGACCCCAGGTTCGGAAACCCTAGGCCGACTCGGCTAAACTATGGTATTGCTGTACAAAAGAATGCAGTGCAATCGAACAAGGCCTTTGTCGAGATTACTCTCCACATTTGCCTAGAGGGAAGTTGGTTAGTTAGCTTAGTTAGGGCAACGCGTTACATGTGTCAGAGGACGTTTGAGGCGCATCAGACGCTGACCACAGGACGTCATAAACGCCTTGCGAGTCACTAACGAGGAATTTTTCGGCGAAGGATGGGGGTCGCAGTGTCTGAATGATTGCCTTCTAGCATGCTTGGAATGCATCTACTTGGGTTGCCAATGCTTCTGGATCACAATCTCGCAGCACATGACCAAACAAGTTTCCCAAAGCGAGCACCCTCATCGAATTTCACTTAACAACGTAAGTTCCGCCGCAGCCACAGCGGGATCGGCCTGCGGAGAGAAATACGCCTGCGCCAATTACGCGGCGTCGCTGGCAGTGGGAGCAGTTGACGGCAGCAGCACCAACATCACCAACCGAAGCAACAGTAGCAGCTGCGCGCCGTCTCGGCGCGAGGCGGGAGTTCGCCGCAGCATTTGCAGCTGCGGCGGCGAGAGCTGCGCGCCGAGCGCAGGGGAAAGCGGCAATCAGGTCGGACGGACTCGAGACTGGCACGCCGCAGCATAGCAGCGGCTGGTGACATGGGCACGAGGACGACTCGCTGCTGTGGCTGATAATAGGCTAGAAAGTGCTGTGGCTTTTGTGGCTTACTAACTAATGGTGCTGATAAAACGAGTGCACTCAGTAGATTGGGTTTACGAAGACGACGATGACGGCGACGAATTCGTCAATGCGGCAATGCTGTGAGCGGAAAAAACCGGTACGATTCCATGCTTCTAGGAACCACCATCGATGAATTTGGTGCTACTATGCCTGAGCAGGTAAACTCGTGAAAGTGAGCTAGCCAAATAGCGCTCGGAAATTGGTTGGATTGGAAGCTGTGATGATTATCGAACAGCGAACGTGATTCAGAAGCCTCGTTCTCTACAACGAATCAAGCCTAGCCTTTCTACACGAGCACACCCAGCCACGCAAAATCCTCGGATGACGAGGTTGGGGATACTCGGAACCGAAAGCTTCGGAAGAATACGAGTCACCTTTGGCTTCGTCTACTCGACCGAGCCTCTTCCTCGTCATGTTTGGGGCTTTGTACGACAGAGACTTTGGGCATAAACAGATCTGGTTACCGTAATCGAACGAAAACCAACCGGTCTCCTTCTTCTACACGTAACTCGGAAATCTGTTCACCAAATTATCCAGTCGAGCCTGGCGTGCCTGACCTATACCCTTTGCTTCGGCACGGGGAAGCTCGAGTGTAGCCGTGCCAGAACCTGACGGGGTCAAAATTTCCGATGTCTGGTTCTTTCTTGAGAATCTCCCAGCCAGAAAACATTTGCGCACTTCTGCACGGGGGTTCGTCTGCCGAGATGTCGCTCCTCTCTGGCCGAAAAGCTTTCTGCAGACAGCCCTTCGCTTGGGCGGGGTCCTCTGCAGCCAGACCCAACTTTCGCCTCTGCTGTGTAGAACAACAAACCTCTGCAGGGTCATTGCATTTTCGACACCCCTCTACCTTGCGCTCTCTACCTTATCATCCCACAGTGCATATCTTCGTGGTCGCTCTGCCATAGCTAGTCGCTCTCGAGACTCAGCCATCATCACTATTTTGGCATTGCACACTTCCAGGCCGTTCATGCGCCAAGCGTTCGCTTTCACAAGCGCAACGAAGCACTCTTATGATAGTGGGATTGTCGCGTTGCGTGCCTGTGCCGGGTAGCATGTCGCGGCATCGTGAGGCTGTGGTCGTAGATCTATGGTTTACCAATCCGATCGCGAATATGGCGATCAAGAACGACCTCATAGCGACGATCATTTCAAATAATGTGCGGGATAAGATGCGAGAGGGGTCAGGAGCGGCGCGTGCATGCAGACAATGGCGACTGGAACTATGCGTAGAGGCTGGAGATGTGCTTCCTCGCACACACACAGCAGTGCTGTAGCTCTGGTCTCCTCGGCCTGACAGGAGATAGGTGTGAGTCACAAAAGGAGCAGAGGCCGCGTGAAGGGAATGGAGGTGGGTTTGGATCTGGATGCGCCAACTTCATTCTGCTTTCGCCAAACGCGTGTAACCTGAAACAACGTTTCAATTGTTAAAAGAATATGAAGAAGGCACTTTTCATTTCTTCCGCAAGCTGTTTCCAGGTTGCCTTGGTGGAAACCACCAAAGCTAAATTGTCACTGTCGCAAATCCTTCTCGCCGATTTCGTCCTGCTCGCAAAACCACCCTGCTTCGCTTCTCTGGTTTCTAGAACTGGCAAAACCTCAAGATTCAATACAGTCCTCGATGTCGCTATTAGAGTCTTCGTGAAGGTCCTCCCATGGCGACGGCTTGGTCAAACGGCGAATTCGCTCAGCTTGCTACAGATCTGCCTTGGGAGGGTATGCTTTGCGCGATGAACTTGCAGATCGGTACAAACGGCCACTATCTGGACCTGTATACGTACGTTATGGCTATTAGCTTAGTAGCGCACGCGAACCGCCTCGAAGTTCGCGAAACGTGAACTCCCTTTCGTCACTGACCGCTTGAGGCATTCTATAATGCTGGCAGAAGCGTTATCATTGGTGGAAGGCTTCCTTCGTTCCCGAAGCCGTTACCCGTGCAGCAAACCCTAAGTCAAATGCTGTGTTTCTGTTGGAACATTACCTATGGCTTTTAATATCCGTTTCAGGGTCTCAGCAGGTTTAATTCGACGTGAATCGGGAAGCGAAGATTTGTGCACCACCAGCAGCTTCGCCGATAGCCATTCCGAGAACGAGCCACATGTCGCGTTATCACCGGGCCACGTGGACATTCAAATCGCCGTTTCTCCACATGAGTCTCTCGAATCGGTCTTCAACCGACTCTTTCAGTCCCATCTTACCCACTGCTGCCTGCCGTCCGATCCACGTCAGCAGCAGGGAGCACAAGACGGTGAGAACGCGGAGGAAAGGAAGTCGGAGGTTCGGAGGCAGCAGGTTCGGTTCATGGTGCTAGGTCAGGTGGTGTACCTCTCTCCCCACTCCACTGTGGAGCAAGCGAAGCTGAAGCCGGGTTGCACCATCAGAGTGCTTCCCGTGAAAACTGTGCTTGGAGGCGGAAAGGGGAAGGCGAAGGCCAAGGAGGGAGGTGACGTGGGTGTGACTGGCCCTGCCTCTGCACCTGCTGCGAACTTGCCTCCTGCTGTGGCTGCTCCTCCTCCTCATCCTCCTCATCCTCCTCCTCCTCCTCCTCCTCCTGCTACTCCCGCTGCTGCATCTGCTGCTGCCAAGCCTCCTGCCGTAGCTGCTCTGGTTGCTGCATCTGCTGCCGCCAAGCCTCCAGCCACGGCTGATCCGGTTGCTACACCCACTGCTACACCTGTTGCTTCCAAGCCTCCTGCCATGGCTGCTCCGGTTGCTACACCTGCTGCTGCCAAGCCTCCTGCCGTGGCTGCTCCGGTTGCTACACCCGCTGCTGTTGCTGTCAGCAGGCCACGTGGGTTTGACTACAGCAAGTGGGACCACATGGGATCCAGCAGCGATGAAGAAGAGGAGGAGGAGGAAGAGGAGGAGGAGGAAGAGGAGGAGGAGGAGGAGGAGGAGGAGGAGGAGGAGGAGGAGGAGGAGGAGGAGGAGGAGGAGGAGGAGGAGGAGGAGGAGGAGGAGGAGGAGGAGGAGGAGGAGGAGGAGGAGGAGGAGTCACCGAAGGCGGGCAGAGGCGCAAGAGGGAGCGCTGGTGGAAGGGAAACGACCCCGAATCCTGCCGGAACATGTGCTTCTGGTGGCGGTGGTGGTGTCTCCAAGGGAATCCAGGCCATTCGAGATGAGATTTGGAAGAAGCGCAAGGAGATGGTGAGAAGGTGGAAGTTCCTAGCAGAGCCAGCTGCTAGAGCAGGCAATGCAGGAGCGACCAACGGGGAGGGGGGATTAGGGAGACATGAGGCTCAGGGAATGGAAGCTCAGGATGGGCAAGGTGAGGAGTCGTGTGGGAAGCTGCAGGTGGTTTCTCGGGCGGACATGGTGCACTACCTGGACGTCAACCACGCCTGGGGAGGGACTGAGTGCGAGGGGTGCTTGGAGCGCGCGGTGTGCTACTTGGCCCAGTGCGAGGTGTACTTTGCAAACCTCCCCCTCCTGCGAGATGAACTGCGCAAGGTGGAGCTGCCCTCCGTTCCCCTGGCGCTGGGAATCTCGAGCACGAAAGAAGTCCCAAGCTCAGACAGAATCTCCCAAATCAGGGCCGCTGTGGAGTTCTCCTCGAAGGTTCCAGTGTTCGGGGAGGAGGGGCAGAAGAAGGGGCAGGTTAAGGGCCAGGAGGGGCCTGACGTGCAGTGGAGCTGCAAGTGTGAGATGGCCCCGTTGCTGTGTGCGGAAGCCATGGTCACAGAGTGGATGGCTGAGCCTCGTGTTGGCGTGCTCTTGGACTTGGGGAGGATCAGATCCCGCCTGCCTGCCATCCTGGCTGCTACAGACGCTGCTACAGATACCCCTGCTGCTGTTGCTTCCTCCCCTGCTGTCCCCACTGCCCCTCCCCCTGCTGCTTCTTCTCCTGCTGCCCCTGCTCCCCCCGCTGCTGTTGCTCCTGCTGCTGCGGCAGCGTGGTCTTGTTGCTGGCGCTGCAGCAGCTGCTGGGCTGCCTACCGCCGTGCTGTCAGCTTCGCTGCCTTCCTCGTGCTTGTAGCGAGGTGGCCCCGTTTCGTGACTCTGTGGCAGGTTCGAAAAGAGTCGCAGCAGGTAGCCTACCCAGCGATCCTGGCGGAGCTGAGGGCGGGCAGGCAGGCGGAGCAGGATTGCTTTGCGTCCATGCTGGTGCAGGTGCTGGGGGTGAAGGAGAGCACTGATCTGGAGGAAGGGTTTGGCGTTCTCATGCAGAATCTGCTGACAGGCGGGCTGGAGAAGGCGCATGCAGAGGAGAAGGGGAGACGGGTAGCTGGTGGTGCGGTTGGGGGGAGCCATCTATGGAGTCTTATTTGGGGTGCTGTTGCAGGCAAGAGTGAGAAGGGTGGGCAATGGAGGGACCATCTGAAGGGGCGCGAGTGGAAGAGGTATGTGGATGGCATGGCTTGGATTCTGGAGCATGGAGGGGGGGAAGGGAGGGAGTTCCGGTGCAGCCACTGCAATGAGGGGGGCAGCAGCAGCAGCAATGGCAGTGGCAGTGGCAGCAGCAGCAGCAATTGCAGCAGCAGTGGCAGCAGAATCAGCAGTGTGGGCAGTGGGACGAAAGACAGAGATTTTCCCAAGGGCATGTACGTGAGTGGCGTGGGTGCTACTGACTTGGCTCTGGCTGTGGCGTCAGTGTACTCAAGGCTAGAGACGCGCAAGGGTGAGGACTGCTTCTGCATCGATGCCAGCAACCCCAAGCAGACCCGTGTGGAGGCTGCTGCGATTGAGGAGGCGAGGGATAGAGTGAGGCGTGCGGGGCTGGCACAGGGGGTGAGTGAGAGAGCAGGAGGAGCAGGAGGGGCAGAAGGGGCAAGAGGAGCAGGGGGAGCAAGAGGGACAGAAGGAGCAAGAGGAGCAGGAGGAGCAGCGTCTGATGCCACTGAGATGCCGGTGAGCAGCTCAGGGCTCGTGCCTGTCAACACCAACCCAGCTGTTGCTGTCGTGACGTATCAGGTTGGCTGTATCTTGCAGTGGGTCCGAATCTACGGCTCAAATAGTACCTTAGAGAAGAAGTGCTTCAAGGACAGCCCACAGGGCAAGGTCCTGCCCATGCGCCATCCACTTCGGGACCTACCGAGCCTGCTTCTCAGGTTCGGCGCCATCCCTGAGCCTCTGGACGGAAGAAACTTCTCCTTGGAGTGGGAGGAGTGGCCTTAGGGCGAGGAAGCTGCTCTGAAGTTTCCCGACGATCCCAGCGCGAGGTGCTTTGGCATGGGGATTTCGGAAGTCGATAGGAGGAGAGAGGAGAGCAAGGAAAACCCCCCTGCCCAATCATGCAAGGCAGGAGGAAGGAGAGGTCGAAGGAACAGAGGGCGTGGGGCAGGGCAGGGAGGCATGAAGAACACGAGCACTCTCACACGCTCTCCCTCACCTCTTCCTTCCGCTAGCCACCGCCCCATTGTTCGCTGTCTTGCAGACGTGGAGTGCATTTTGGAGTTCGCTGCTGCCATGCTCACCCCACCCGACTGCTCCGAGTGCAAGAGGTGCATCAAGCGCTACACCTCCCACATCCCCTTCGTCACCCTCGTTGCCAACTACGCCTACCGCCCCGCCAGCGTGCTGTTCTACCGCTTCCTCTCTGCCCTCCTGCCGCACTCCAAGGAGTTCACTAACCTCGTCCGCATGCTGGGCCTGGACCCCTTACCCATGGGCGCCTCTCTCGAGGAAGAGAGGGCGAATCTTGAGCGTGTGCGGGCGCAGGCAGAGCGTGTGCCTGTTGCTCTGCATTGCTCTGAGATGGGCACGCCCCGTTCTCGTGCCCGGCGGGTTTGAGAAGGACGGCACCCGGAGGCCATTGGAGGCGCAAGGGTGGGTCGGAGGAGGGAGGTTCTGGAGCGCGGGGGGCTTTGGGGATGGCAGGGGTGGTGAGGAGGATTGCTGGGATGATGGCGAGGTGTGGGCGGAGGTTTGGTCGTGGTGCGGTGCGGCAATGCTTGCATGGCCGGCTTATGTGTCGGGGGCAGTGAGACATGCCGAGGCAGGCGGGAAGGGAAGGCGAGTGAGCCGTTGAGCCCCGAGGCGGTGTATGCTCTCTGCCGGGGGACTGCCCAGGTGCGGTACCGTGGAGACATGGAGGCGCAGGGTGTGTCTGCCAAAGGATGTGGCAGCAGCAGCAAGAGCAGCACCAAGGACAGCAGCAAGGGCAGCAGCAAGAGCAGCAGCAGTGGCAGCAGCAGCAGCAGTGGCAGCAGCAGCAGCAGCAGCAGCAGCAGCAGCAGCAGCAGCAGCAGCAGCAGCAGCAGCAGCAGCAGCAGCAGCAGCAGCAGCAGCAGCAGCAGCAGCAGCAGCAGCAGCAGCAGCAGCAGCAGCAGCAGCAGCAGCAGCAGCAGCAGCAGCAGCAGCAGCAGCAGCAGCAGCAGCAGCAGCAGCAGCAGCAGCAGCAGCAGCAGCAGCAGCAGCAGCAGCAGCAGCAGCAGCAGCAGCAGCGGCAGTGGCAGCAGCAGCGGCAGTGAGAAGAAGGGCAAGAAGGGGGAAGAGCCGGCGTATCTCAAGGCATGGCCGGGGGGAGTGAATCTGGTGGCATGTCTGCGAGAGATGCTGCTGGGGGAGCTTAGTGTGCTACCGCCCTGCCTCCCCTGCTGCCCCTTCCACCCATCCTGATGCTGGCAGCAGGTGTACCGGGCAGAACAGCACTGCCAGTTGTAATGCAGTATCTGGAGGCTCGGTCAGGCAGAGGCGAGTCAACGCGAAAGGCTGTGGCTCTGCTGTTTCTGGAGGGCTTGTGTGCGGTGCTTTGGGATGCGATATGGTGCTTGGCGGCGGTGTGGTGGTTGCGATCTGCAGTCGGTGTGTCAAGGTGGCGTATTGCAGCAGGGAGTGCCAAGAGGCGCACTGGCCCTTCCACAAGCTTGTGTGCAAACCCAAGTCCAGCAGCATGGTGAGTCGCAAGGCCTGTTTCTGTGTGCAAGGTCAAAAGCCAGAACGTTGACAAAACTGGTGTGGCAAGGTAAGGTATTAACTGTTGAAGGGCATTGGGAGCCTAAGTGTCCCATAAGTGCGTTTTGCGTTCAAATGCTACTGTTGGTACAAACGCTTCGGAGGCATGGTAAACCCGGGCCTGTGCAGTTCGGGCAGAAAAGAAAAGGGTTTTCAGAAGAGGGGGAGGGAAGAGAATGAAAGGAGTTAGGATGCAGTAGGATTCTGGAGGCTAGGAATACAAGAGCCGTGTCTCACGACAGAATTGGTGGGAGTTTCAGGGTTCTCTTGTTGTGCTGGGGTTGAGTATTATACGACGGAGAGCGGGGATATAGGGGTTTGCGGGAGGTTTTATTGAGGCAAACAGCCAATAAGCAAGCAGGCAAAGTTCCAGTTTGAGTTTGCCTGTTTGTGAGAAATCACATGGTTTTTCCGATGGGTTGCTCCAGAAGTTTTCAGCCAACCGTTGGCGTTTTTTCGTAGCGTTTGGCACTTTGCGTTCAAACGCTAAACGCCCGCCTGGGAATGCGTATGTGGTCACTCGTGAGGGCACTCATGAGGTTACTTCTAAGGGTGTATTTGCATGAGGTTATTGGTTAGGGTGTTTTTTCTGAAATCTTTCCAAGAATGTGTCAAAATTTTTTGAGGTGATTTATTATCTTCTAATGACACTGATGAGGTGTGATGAATATGAGTGAGAAGTGTGGGGTGATTGTGCACATATGCAAGAGCTATACAGGGATTCTTCCTGCTTCCCTTGTATTGACAGAGAAGAATGGGCTTTGCCAGATTGTTTTAGGTTGCCACGTCTCCCTTGGCTTCCTTCCCTAGGCCCTGGGGCATCATAGTCACAACGGGTTGGAGTGGTCCCGTGTGCTGCTTGCCATTAGAGGCGCCTTAAGCATTGCCCTGTTTACTGCTTGCCTTTCTGCCTTCCCCATCGGTGGCAGTTGCCAGGAGTTTGGGGGTTCGTGTTTCTGCTCGTGGCCGTATTCCTGATTTGGCGCCTGCTGTGGTAGCCTTACCGAGGTAGGTAGCTGCTCTTGTTATCGAGGTTGTTCCTGTGCCTGCTGTCCCATGTTACAATATGTGGTCGCCCCCTCCCAACGTCCCTCCTCTCCATCTTCCCTTCCTTTTCTCTGCTTACCTCCTTTGTGGGGACTAGAGTTGGCACATAGTAGTGCTATGTAGCAAACATCATGAGCTCTGTCTTTTCGATGACTCACCTTACATACATCACATGGACACACTTGCATTGCATCGCAACACAACTTACTGGCGACAAGTGGTCGACCTCATTGCATTCGTTCTGTGCCGCAGGTTTCTGCCTTCTGATTCTTCCTGACTTCCATTTTCTTCATGTTTCTGTTTTGGGTTGGGCAGCTTCTCAAACCTCAATGAGGCACAAGGTCCTTAGAATGCAAATATATTTATTGCGGATGTGTTATGATCCACCAGCGAAACTTGCGGCCCTGCAGCAATGCTCCGTTTCTGATACCAAGCTGTTGGTGTGGTGGTTTTAAATATGGGGATAGACCGTACTGTACTTGTATTGAAAAACTTTGCAAAATATACAGAAACTACGCGGTAAATTGGGCAATTCTGAAACCCATGAAATGATAATTGGGAAGGCTGGCTTTGGTCTGGTGGTGAGTCAAACAAGACTAGAACCAGACAACATGTTATAAGACTGCAGAGGGCATGCAGAAATGGGACACACTGGGCACACGCCAGCCAAGCATTGTGACAACAGCCATCCCACGATTTGACGCACTACAGCCTACGGCATGCACCCTGCATGGCCCCCCTGGTAGAGGGAATCTGCGATGGGACAAACATTGCAGGCAGGAATGTAGGTAATAGAAGTGTAGCAATGCACGCACGCACATACACGCATAAAGCTGTGACAACACTCTGGGAAAGAGAATAAACTACTGCTATTGCAGGGCGATGAGGCTGCAAAGGGCACATGGAATTGGCTCCATTAAGGCTTTCTGACCGAGATTTAGGGTGTGGTACCAAGCGTTTTGCTTGCATGGGTAGCACAGTGGAGAAATGGGTGGAGAGGGCAGGAAAGGGATGGCATGGCACGTCAATGATTGAACGTGCTGAAAGTGGACCACGCACTACACACAAGAGTGCGGGAGGGAGAAGGGACTCAGTGATGAGACACATGGCAGATGCAAGAAGGGAAGTAATGAACAGGGTACCTCGGCATGGAATGATATGGCTTGGCAAGCAACCACGTCTTCCTTGTTTCTAATTCCAAAAGTCGCTTACAAACAACCACGTCTCAAACTGAGGAATGAACGATGCATTGATGTTGGTTTGGGGTACATATAACAAACCCTAACTTTTGTACCCCCTAAGACAAACCTCACTATAGGCTACAACATTTGACACACCCCCATAGGCAAAGCAAGCTCAGGGTGGATCACAACGTCACCACACTCTCTGAGCACAAGCAACAGTGGCCACAAGGCCAGTCCAAGCAATAACAGAGATATATAGAAAGTGTACAAGAAAAGCAAACAATGAACTCAAGACTAAGACGAAAACCAGTGTCAACAAGGCCTAACTGCACACAGCACCTGTGGTGGTCACAAGGCGGAAGCGCCTTGGTGAAGATGTCTGCAGTGTTGGCCTCGGACTCCACAAACTCGAAGCGAGCCTGTCCACGTCTCTGCAACTCTCGCAGAAGGAAGTACCTGACGTTAATGTGCTTCACTCTGCTCTCCAGTCGCGGCTCTCGACAAAGGAGAATGGATGCCTTGTTGTCAGTGAACAAGGTCGGTGCAGAGCTCGGCCGCTCACCCAGGTCGGCGAGCAAGAACGTCAACCAACGCAGCTCCTGTGCCGCCATGGCACCAGCGTAGATCTCAGCCTCAGCTGTAGAGGTCGAGACCGAAGAGGAGCGCGTGGACCGCCAAGAAACAGCTCCAGAACCCAGGCTGAAACAGTAACCCTGAGTAGACCTGTGAGTCTCAGCGTCGTCAGCGTAAGAAGAGTCACAGTGACCAGTAAGTACGACAGACTGCTGCCCTCCAAGAACTAGCCCCACGCCTGATGTCGTCGCTAGGTACTTCGCCACCCTCACAGCTGCTGTCCAGTGAACAGGACGGTGTCTCCCTGGCGCAACAAAGCGCGCAAGGATGCTGAGAGGGAAAGCGAGGTCCGGGCGAGTACAAGTCATCAGGTACATGAGGCAACCCACAAGCTCTGCGTAGGGACCACTGGGCTCAAACGGCTCGTCAGGAAAGGGTCCAGTGAGTCTGTGGTCAACAGCAAGAGGTGTGCGCTGTACTGTGGAGTGCTGAAGCTCGAACCGCTGAAGGACCTGCTGCACCATGTGCGACTGTGAGAGTGTAATGGTGCGAGCAGCTCTGTCCCTGGTGATCTGCAGCCCAAGGTAATGGCGCAGCTCACCAAGGTCAGTGCACGTGTGTCTCTTCTGCAGTTCGGACTTCACGTCAAACATATATGCTGCATATTGTCTAGGCTGTAGTGGGGTAGCCCATATGGGGTACAGCCCAATTAGGGTTTACTACTTGTACTCCTACATGCTGCTAGTTCATCCATTCCTGCTGCTAGATTCTGACATGGTATCAGAGCACTAAGGTCCGTAGGTCTACGAACTTGGTGAGTGGAGCTGACCTCCAGGATCGGGGGGTTGACCAGTTCACTCCTGCGAGTCAGCGAGTGACTCACTGTACGTGTGCTAGGACGGGCCGACACTTGGCCACGTTCACCCGTGCACCTGGCTCGAGTCTGTACACACTGACCACTGAGTCCCCTCAGGTAGCTGCGTCCGCGTCTACGTCTGGTCAGCTGGCGGCCCCCTGCGAGTGTCGCGCTTTGTCGCACGACACTCTCCTGTGGCACCACCGCCTTGGTCACCCCTCCTTGCCTCGCCTACGTAGCATGCACTCTCGCTCCCTGGTCTCTGGTCTTCCCAGGTCTCTGCCTGCCCTCCCTCCCTCGCCTGCGCCGCCCTGCATTCCTTGCGTCGAGGGGCGGCAGCGCGCCGCTCCTCACTCCTCGTTTCCTCCCACAGAGGCTCCACTGCAGACGCTCCACCTGGACGTGTGGGGCCCAGCCCGCGTCCAGGGACAGGGCCACGAGCGGTACTTTCTGCTGGTTGTCGACGACTACACGCGTTACACCACGGTCTTCCCCTTGCGGACCAAGGCGGATGTCCCTGCTGTTTTGATCCCCTGGATCCGCGCAGTTCGTCTCCAGCTCCGCGAGCGGTTCCGGTCGGACTTTCCTGTCCTGCGTCTGCACTCTGACAGAGGTGGTGAGTTCTCCTCCGACCTCTTGGCAGCCTACTGTGCGGAGCGCGGCATCACCCAGTCGTTCACGCTTCCGGCCTCTCCGCAGCAGAATGGGGTTGCTGAGCGCCGCATTGGCTTAGTCATGGAGGTCGCTCGTACCTCCATGATCCATGCGGCTGCCCCCCATTTTCTGTGGCCGTTTGCGGTCCGGTACGCCGCGCATCAGCTCAACCTCTGGCCCCGTGTCTCCTTGCCGGAGACCTCGCCCACACTGCTGTGGACGGGGAAGGTTGGCGATGCGTCGCGTTTCCGGGTCTGGGGTGCTCGTGCCTTTGTCCGCGATACCACCGCGGACAAGCTCTCCGCCCGCGCTGTTCCCTGTGTCTTCCTTGGCTTTGTCCCTGACGTGCCTGGTTGGCAGTTTTATCACACCACCTCGCGCCGTGTCTTTGCGTCTCAGGACGTCACGTTCGACGAGTCGGTTCCCTTTTACCGTCTCTTCCCCTACCGCACTGCCCCGCTCCCCCCCCCCCCGCCGCTCTTCCTCGCTCCAGGTGCTCCCCAGGTAGACCCCCTCCTCGCTCCCGGTCCTGCTCCTTCAGGTGTTTCTCAGGTAGACCCTCCTCCCTTGACTGTGCCGGTTGAGGTCACTGGTGACTCAGGTCCTACTGAGGGTGGTCCTGCTCGGGGTGCTACTTCTGGGGGTGCTGAGCCTGGGGGTGCGGAGCCTGGGGGTGCTGAGCCTGGGGGTACTGAGCCTGAGGGTGCGGAGCTTGAGGGTGTGGAGCCTGGTGGTGCTGAGCCTGAGTGTGAGGGGTCTGGGGGTGCTGAGCTTGGCGGTACTGACGCTGGAGGTTCTGGAGCTACTGAGGGTGCTGGCGCTGGAGGTTCGGGAGCTGCTGGAGGGCCTAGTACTGGTGGCGCTGGAGCTGGAGGTTCTGGAGCTGCTGAGGGTGCTCGCGCTGGAGGTTCTGGAGCCGCTGGAGGTACTGGTGCTGAGGGTACTGACACCGGAGGTTCTGGAGCCGTTGGGGGTGCGGGCGCTGAGGGTTCTGAGTCTGCTGTTGCGCGGTCTCCTTGGAGTAGCCGCCTTCGTCCACGTGTGCCTCTCACCCCACAGCAGCTGCAGGACTGGTACGGTCGCCGTCAGCGTCGCGCTGCTGGAGCTAGGAGTGGTGCTGGTCCTTTGTCTACTGGAGGTGCTGGAGTCGCTGGTTCTGGAGGTGCTCGTGCTGGAGACACTGAGGCTGGAGACCCTGGGACTGGAGGTGCTGGTTCTGGGGGTGCTGCTGCTAGAGACACTGAGGCTGGAGACCCTGGGACTGGAGGTGCTGGGTCTGGGGGTGCTGCTGCTGGAGACACAGAGGTTGGAGACCCTGGGACTGGGGGTGTCGGCTCTGGGACTGGAGCTTCTGGAGCTGCTGGAGGTACGGGAGCTGCTGGAGGTACTGGAGCTGCTGGAGGCACTGGAGCTGCTGGAGCTGCCGGTACTGGTGCAGCTGCGCCGACACGACTGTTCTTCACTCCGCCGTCTCCGTCGTCTCTGCCGCCGCCTGACTCTGCTCTTCGTCAGGTTGTTACTCTCCCGTCGTCTACTGGTCTTCCGTTACAGACTGGCTCACCGCTACCTGCTCCCTCTCCTTACACTGAGCAGACAGGAAGTCCTGCTACGCGTCGTGAGCCTGCGTCGCGTCCTGTCTCGCCTGTTCGTTCTGGTCGTACCGTTCGTCGTGTCGCTCGTGCGCGTCAGCCGGCTGTCCCCAGCGCACACCTTGTTGTCCGTCGTCCTTCCTCTGCTCCGCAGCCTGTTCCTCTGCCGTCTCCCCCTGCGTCCTCTCTGCCTGCCGTTCCGGACCCTGAGTCTGACCGGTTTCGTACTGAGCACCCTACTGTCACGCGTCTCCTAGCCACTGTTGTCACTGACCCGTCGTTTGAGTCTACTGCTGCGTCTACCTTGGTCGCTGAGCTTGTTGACTTTGCTGCTGCCTGTCGTCTAGACTACGCCGCTAGTCTTGTTGCTGAGTCTGAGTCTGTCTGTCCTCCGTCCGTCGGGGGTGAGTGTGCTCTTAGCACGGACGTCCTTGAGGACAGGCAGGAGGAGTTCCAGTGTCTTGCTGCTACTTTACCTCATCTTGTGTCCTCGCTACTTGCCCCTGAGGGAGACCCGGATGCACCAGACATCCCGACTCCGCGCTCTTACGCAGAGGCGATAGAGGGTCCCTACTCCTCTCAGTGGCAGGCAGCCATGGACGCAGAGATGGCTTCCTGGAAGTCCACAGGCACCTACGTTGATGAGGTTCCCCCACCTGGGGCGAACATCGTCAGTGGCATGTGGATTTTCAGGGTGAAGCGGCCGCCGGGTTCTCCGCCTGTCTTCAAGGCGCGTTACGTGGCTCGAGGCTTCAGTCAGCGAGAGGGAGTTGACTTCTTCCAGACCTTCTCCCCCACCCCGAAGATGACCACTCTTCGGGTGCTGCTGCATGTTGCTGCTCACCGTGACTACGAGCTTCACTCTCTTGACTTCAGCACAGCTTTCTTGCAGGGCAGCCTGCACGAGGAGATCTGGCTGCGCCGTCCCCCGGGCTTCACTGGGTCGTTCCCTCCTGGCACCCAGTGGAGCCTCCGGCGGCCGGTCTACGGTCTCCGCCAGGCGCCACGTGAGTGGCACGACACACTGAGGACTACGCTTGCGGCTCTTGGGTTCGCGCCTTCTACTGCTGACCCGTCGCTGTTTCTGCGCACCGACACTTCCCTGCCGCCGTTCTATATCCTCGTGTACGTCGACGACTTGGTTTTTGCCACTGCTGACACTGAGGCTCTCGCCCACGTGAAGTCGGAGCTGCAGAAGAGACACACGTGCACAGACTTGGGTGAGCTGCGCAGCTACCTTGGCTTGCAGATCACCCGAGACAGAGCACGTCGCACCATCACCTTGACTCAGTCACACATGGTGCAGCAGGTCCTTCAGCGCTTCGGCTTCACCTGGTCTTCAGCACAGGCCACTCCTCTGGCTACAGGTCACACGCTCTCAGCTCCACCTTCGGACGAGTCCGTAGAGACGAGTGGTCCTTACCCAGAGCTAGTCGGCTGCCTCATGTACCTGATGACTTGCACTCGACCTGACCTCGCGTACCCTCTTGGTCTTCTGGCTCGCTACGTGGCTCCTGGTCGGCACCGACCTGAGCACATGGCTGCTGCTAAGAGGGTACTGCGCTACTTGTGCAGCACATCAGGCATGGGGCTAGTGCTTGGAGGGACGAGCCCAGTTGTCCTCACTGGGCACTCAGACGCTTCTTGGGTTGACGACCAGGCTACTCAGCGGTCGTCACAGGGTTACACCTTCAGCCTTGGCTCTGGTTCAGTTTCGTGGCGTTCTACACGCTCGTCTTCAGTTCTCAGCTCCAGTTGTGAGGCTGAGATCTACGCCACAGCCATGGCTGCACAGGAGTTACGCTGGCTCACCTACCTGCTGACTGACTTGGGAGAGCAGCCTCGTTCTCCTCCAGTGCTGTACGTCGACAACAAGGCCGCCATTGCCTTGTGTGAGGAGCACAGACTGGAGCACAGAACGAAGCACATTGCTCTGCGTTACTTCCTGGCTCGAGAGTTGCAGCAGCGAGGCCAGCTTCGTCTTCGTCACGTGGCCACTCGGGCCAACACTGCTGATATATTCACCAAGGCACTTCCGTCTGGTGATTTTCAGTGCTTTTGTACCCTGTTAGGCCTTGTGCCTACGTTTCCACACTTGCTGTAGTCTCTGCTTGTACTGTGATCTATATATATACATGCATGCCTGCTCTTGCTAGGTAGTCATCACTGTACTGTTATTGTTGCATATATATCTCTGCATGTGGACTGGCCTTGTGGCCCTTTGCTTGTGCTCAGAATGTGTGGTGACGTTGAGATCCACCCTGAGCTTGCTTTGCTTCTCTTGACTGGTCGTTTGACCCCTTGTTCTCCCCCACTTTGCCTATGGGGGTGTGTCAAACATATATGCTGCATATTGTCTAGGCTGTAGTGGGGTAGCCCATATGGGGTACAGCCCAATTAGGGTTTACTACTTGTACTCCTGCATGCTGCTAGTTCATCCATTCCTGCTGCTAGATTCTGACACGGACTTCACGTCTGCCAAAGCAACCCTGTCAGCAGTGGCGAAAACGAGGTCGTCGACGTAGACCAGAACGAAGAACGGTGTGGAGCCACGGCGAACAAACAGCGACGGGTCGGCAGAAGACGGCTGGAACCCAAGGTCAGAGAGGGTAGAGCGGAGAGTGTCGTGCCACTCACGAGGGGCCTGGCGAAGACCGTAGACAGGTCGCCTCAGCCTCCACTGGGTCCCAGGAGGGAAAGTGCCAGTGAAGGCAGAGGGACGACGCAGCCAGACCTCCTCGTGTAGGCTGCCCTGAAGAAAAGCAGTGGAGAAGTCGAGAGAGTGTAACTCGTAGTCTCTCTGTGCTGCTACGTGCAGTAACACTCGAAGAGTGGTCATCTTCGGGGTCGGCGCGAAGGTCTGAAAGAAGTCAACTCCCTCGCGTTGACTGAAACCTCTAGCAACGTAGCGCGCCTTGAAGACCGGAGGAGATCCCGGTGGCCGCTTCACCCTGTAGATCCACATGCCATCGACTACGTTCGTCCCAGGGGGAGGAACCTCATCGACGTAGGTGCCTGTGGATCTGTAGGAGGCCATCTCTACGTCCATGGCAGCTCTCCACTGAGAGGCCCAAGGCCCTGACACTGCCTCAGCGTAGGTGCGAGGAGTCGGAATGTCAAGGGCGTCGGGGTCACCCTCAGGGGTGAGGAGCATGGCACAGAGATGAGGGGAAGCGGCTGCCAGGAACTCTAGCTCAAACTGCCTGTCCTCTAGGACGTCACAGCCAAGGGCAGACACACCCCCGACGGCCAGAGGACTGGTAGGAGGAGCAGCCACAAGAGTGGTGGCGTAGTCAAGGCGGCGAGTAGAGGCAAACTCAGTGACCGCGGCAGTAAGAGCGGAGACAGAGGACAAAGAGGCACGAGGGTGGGTAACAAGAGAGGCGAGAACACGAGAGAGAACAGGACGGTACGTGCGGTAGTAGTCAGTGACAGGGGTAGAGAGAGAAGCTGTGAGGGCCGACTCAGGAGGAGAAGGAAGCACAGGAGGAGCCGAACGAGACGGACTAGAACGGAACAAGACAGTACGAAGGTCAGTGAAAGGAACAGGGGACGAGGGACGAGCACGAGGAGAACGACGAGTAGCCCAAGTACCAGACGGAGGAGGAGACGACAACGGCGGAGAACTGGGGAAAACAGCGGGGGAGGAGTCAGGAGGAGGAAACGTGGGACCGTAGACAGGAGGAGAGGGGGAGGAGGGAGGAGAGTGAAAGGGGAGACCAAGGGTCCGAAGACCCGAGACAGGAGGAGGAGGTGGCTGCTGCTGCTGCTGCTGCTGCGGCTGGTGCTGCTGCTGCTGCGGCTGGTGCTGCTGCTGCTGCGGCTGCGGCTGCTGCTGTGACTGCTGCTGCTGCGGCTCCAGCTGCTGCTGCTGCTGATGCTGCTGCTGCTGCTGCTCCTGCGGCTCCAGCTGCTGCTGCTGCTCCTCCAGCCGCTGTAACTCCCTCTCCTCTCTCTCCAACGCCAGCTGCTCCTCACGGGCACGGCGAACACGAGCCTGGTGCCTAGTCGGGTAGGGGTGGGGGGGCGGAGTAGTGTCCGGGGCAGCGGCAGCCCCAGAGTCCACCTCCGAAGCACCAGGCGCACCACCCCCAGAGGCAGCACCAACACCAGCTCCAGACCCAGGCTCACCAGAACCCGAAGGAGGCGCACCCTCACCCCCAGACGGAGCACCCCCAGTGTCCGCGCGACCAGCACCAGCTCCCGGAAGACAAGAGTCCTCTGCACCCACCGGCTCAGCTCCAACTCCAGCACCCCCAGAACCAGAAACCGGTACAGGAACAGGCTCAGCACCAACCTCTCGAGAGCTAGCACCTGCGGCACGCTGCGAGGAGGACTGTGGGGAGGGAGGCTGTACCGGAGGGGCTACCGAAGGAGGAGGGGTAGCCTGGGACACACCTGACGGGGCTGGACCAGGGGGGGGAGGCTGTACCGGGGGAGCAGGAGGGGGAGCGGCAGTCAGGAAGAGGGGGGGAGGAGGAACCGGGAGACCTCGACTGGGGTACCTGACGTAGTACGGGGTGGACTCCTCAAAACGGACGTCACGGGAGTCAAAGAACCGGTGAGAGGGAGGGTGGTAAAAGGTGAAGTCAGAGGAGTCCTCAGGGAAACCAAGGAAGACACAAGGAACGGCGCGAGGCGAGAGCTTGTCCGCAGAGGTGTCGCGGACAAGAGCCAAGCAACCCCAGACACGAAACCGCGACGCAACACCAGGGGACCCGGTCCAAAGACTGGTCGGTGAAGCCTCTGGCCGAGAGACGCGTGGCCAGAGGTTCAGCTGGTGCGCGGCGTACCGAACCGCGTAAGGCCACAGAAAATGGGGGGCACGGGCGTGAGTCAGGGAGGTGCGGGCAATCTCCATGACCAAGCCTATGCGGCGCTCAGCAACCCCATTCTGCTGTGGGGACTCTGGAAGCGTCCAGGACTGACGAATGCCCTGCTCGCGACAGAATCCAGCGAGAATGCCGGAGCGAAACTCACCCCCGCGGTCGGAGTGAAGACAGCTGACACGACGACCACGAGTGTCCGCGGTGGTGAGCAACCACCTGATCAGCGTAGAAGTCACCTCAGACTTCTTCGCCAGGGGGAACACCGTGGTGTAGCGGGAGTAGTCGTCAACGACCACCAGAAAGAAACGCTCACGCTCAGGGCCAAGGCGGCAGCGACGGCAAGACACGCGGGAGACCTAAGACCAGACGCTGACTAGACATAGCGCGCAGACGTGGAAGAGAAGGGTGCCCCATCCGGTGGTGCCACAGAACGGTGGGGTGGGCAAGCGACCTGCAGGAGCAAGACGCAGCGACTGGACTGGACGCGACTACCTGAGGGGACGTAACCACCTGGTGAGACGCAGGGAGGAGACAAGGGGGAGGGACAGGAACAGGGAGTAGGGGCTGCTGCGACGGCGGCTGCTGCGGCTGCTGCTGCTGCTGCGGCGGCGGCGACTGCTGCGGCTGCTGCTGCTGCTGCTGCTGCTGCTGCTGCTGCTGCTGCTGCTGCTGCTGCTGCTGCTGCTGCTGCTGCTGCTGCTGCTGCTGCTGCTGCTGCTCCTGCTGCTGCTGCTGCTGCTGCGGCCGCTGCCGTGCACGCGGGCCAGTGTGAAGAGTGTAGAGACCGGAGCCCGGCTCAGCAGCAAAGGTGGCCAGAGGCTGGTAAGAGTCCCCGTCAACACACACCGCAGTCTCCCCAGAAGGCTCAAACCACACACCCACGTGCTGACTCACGAGGGGTCGCACGCCCACCAAGTTCCGGGAGAACGAGGGGACGTGAAACCCAGTGAGAGACCCGGAGGGAGCAGCAGGACACGGCAAAGTGGTAGTGTGACGCGCAGTGACTGGTCCCGAGGTGGGATCAGCCAGCGCCACAGAGACAGGCGCAGGAAGTGGTGTAAGTGTCGTGCTGTCACGGAAGAAGCAGTGTGAGGCTCCAGAGTCCAGCGTGAAAGACAGTGAAGCGTCCTCCGAGGTAGCCGCTGGACTAGTGTCTACACAAGAAACTACACTAGCAACAGGCAACTGAGCAAGGCTAGCACCTAAGCTAACAACACCAGAGTAAACAGAGTCAGAAACACTAGAGTCAACAACAGCATACATAGCATGAGGAGTTCCAATCAGATCAGCTAACTGCTCGGCAGACATGTCCCACAGAGTGGAGCCGTAACGCTGAACAAGGGGAAACCAGTCAGGGGCAGGACCGCCAACCCCGTAGACCAAACGAACCGTGTCAGTGAGCTGAGCAAAGCACTGACCAGGGGGGTGAAGGCGGCCACAAGGGTGGCCCCGGCGAGCACCTGTCAGAACCTGATAGGTGCAGGGAGGGTAAACAGCACCACGCTGGGGCTGACGCGGCCCCGACCCCGAAGCCAGCTGCGGCCGCTGCTGCTGCGGAGGCTGCTGGGAGGAGAGGGGCTGCTGCTGCTGCTGCTGAAGCTGCTGCTGACGCTGGGCCCGGTACCACACCGCCGCTCCACCCACCGGGGCTGGCAGTACAGGGGGCGACTGACGAACTCGGGCGTCGCCACCACCAGCAGGCGCAGTGGAGTCACCGGTCGCTGCACGAGACGTCTCTCCAGGCCCTGCACTCCCACCACCGCCAGTCGCAACGCCACCCCCACTACCTCCGCCTCCACCAACGCCGCCGCCAGCACCGCCCCTCTTGCCACCCCTACCGCGGGACCGCGACGAAGTCGTAACAGCAGCTGCTATCGCGTCGGTAGTGGCAGTGGCAAGAAAGGCAGTAAAGGTGGGCAACTGCGGGACCGTGCACCCGTGGAAGAGTGGGGGGGGCACAGCACCAGAGGCAGCGGCGACGGAGCGGAGGTTGCTCTCGATGTCCTTGAGCGCAGACTCAAGGACCTCAATAGTGAGCTCACTAGGGTGCTTCAGGAGAAGCGCGTCACGAACAAAGGCAAGGCGGCCAGGGAGGCTAGTGGCGATGAAATAGATAGTAATCGCCATGGGAGGAGGAAGCAGTGCAAGCTGTGCCTCAGTGCAAGCAGCGCGGTAACTAGAGTCGAGCGAGCGGAGGTGAGCAATCAAGTCAGCAGAGCGCTCAAACGAGGCAAGATCAGGGAACAGGAACGGGAGGAAAAGGCGGCCAAGAGAGACAGCAGCAGGAGTGGAGTAGCGGGCCTTAATCGCAGTCAGGTACTCAGCAGCAGTGCGAACCTGAGTAAAGTGGACCTCCTCAGACTCAGGGAGGAGGGTGCTGAGCGCGATGCAGGCCGCAGCGTCACGCGACGTCCAAGCTGTCAGGTCAGCGCGCTGGCTAGCAAAGCGAGCTCTAGCGGCGTCGTCAGGGGCAGGACCTAAAGGCGTAGGTTCGGGGGGCGCAGGGAGGGCACCAGTAGCGTGCGCCCAGAGGGTCTCGCCTGACTGGACCTGACTCTCTAACTCACGACGAGCGCGCATAAGCCAGAGTGAAAAGTCAAGGGGTCTACCGTCAGCGTCGAAACGAAGTACACGCTGAGTCGCCATAGTGAAAACTGACGGAAAAGCGGAGGCAGGAAACCCTAAACGAGGTGGCGTGGCGAAACTCGGGCGGGCAAAGGGCGAAGCGGGAAACCCTAAACGAGGCACAGGCGCAGCTAAACGGGGGGGCGTTAAGGGGCAGCCGCGCGGGGGCTAAGGGCAGCCGCGCGGGCGCGGGGGTGGGCGTTAAGGAGCAGCCGCGCGGGCAACGAGTGCGTGAGCAATGTGGAAAGAATGTGTGAACAATCTGCCGCAGGCTCGGGAAGGAGTGTACGAGCCTAGCGGCAGCATTGCCCACCCTTGCTACAACAGTTAGAAACTCTAAATAAGCTAGTTGTAACGGAGAAGAATAGTTACCATGATAAAATTTCCATTAAACTTTTATAAACAAAGTTACAAGAGATTATATGTGTACTATCACTACAATACACAGTGGCGCAGAGTGGGAACCAACCCTTAGTTCAAGTTCTTGTCATGTACCTGCTTACATTACACCTGCACAGGGCACAACAGTAATAGTTGGTAACCAACCCTTAGTTCAGATAGGAAGAATTCTGCACAGAGCACCAACACACAGAGCGGAGTTAGGTTAGGTTAGCATAGTAGGACGTTGCAAAAGCATCCCAAATAGCGGCATACCTTTCACGTCGCGTGATGATGTGACCGGGGACGATTTGCAGCAAATGAATGGGATAAACTCCAGCAAACACCAAAAAATTAACTCCAGCAACAAAAGGCTCGGACGCTTAGCGATAATGATGGCCTTGCAAGTCGATAATCTCGTGCTGATGTTATACGAAGGTCTGTCTCTGTACAGACATATGATCCCACACGCTCGTGTTAGCTCGAAACAGAAACTTTATTAATTCGCACCTGAAAGGGGCGGCGAGTGTAGAGCGTGAGGCCGTACGGTCATTCCGATATTCATGCAGCAACGGCAGACTTTCAATATCCTGAAGGAGGGATGGAGTGAGACGAACAAAAATAAACGAACAGAAATAAGACAGTGGACTCAGTATCGTATACATTAGGAGGAAAGCGCACTATGCCGGAGCAACGCACAAGCTGAGAAAAGCAGAGCGCGGAATGAACGAGAGGAAATGAAGAGCTGAGCTGTGGGTGGAGTTTGGAATAGCAGCGAGGGAGATGCATCCCGCATACCAACCCTGCACGCCTTGGTGTCGTTTCGCACATGCGTATTGGCGAAACTAGAGCGAAGTAACTTGCGAACATTACGATTGAGCGCCACACCAGCACAAGGCACATCCGCGCTGTCACATTCGAGTGTCGCATCACAGAGATGAAGTCGCACTGTTTTTTTGACGCGTCAGCAAATCCTTATCCAAAACAGACTCGTCATAGTCGGAATTGTTACTGTATAAGCCGCAAATTTCTGCCGACGCAAATTAAACGATGAACCGTAAGTTGCACCGCAGTACATCCAACACAACCGTAGAAAGTCCCCTGTACCCCACCAAAATTGGCACGTGCGAGGCTGTTGGGTTGTGAACTGCGGGTAGCTGCTGGGACAATGGGGAAGGGGGGACATTCTTCCCGCCTCCGCAGAAATGGTTCAGCATTGTTTTTCACGAGAAACAATGCCTCAAGTAGCATTACTCATTCCCCGTGCAATGGCGAGCGCGCATGCATGGGGAAAACCTAGTTTTGGGCATGGATTGTGGCGAAGAATTTTTTGCAGAGGCCGCGCGCGACGCGACGAGCAGCGAAGGCGGGCAGCGACGGCGGGCGCCGTGGCGACGGGCGCAGGTCGCGGGCGCGACGTCGGGCGCCGCGGCGGGCAGCGACGGCGGGCGCCGCGGCGACGGGCGCAGGCTGCGGGCGCGACGGCGGGTGACGGGAGAAGGCGCAGCGGCGGCGCGCGTAAGGGGGGGACGGGCGACGGGACGACGGGCGGGGAGAGCGCGATTCAACGGGCAGCAGGGGGGAAAACGCGACTCGACGGGCAGCGGGGGGAAAAACGCGACTCGACGGGCAGCGGGGGGAAAAACGCGACTCGACGGGCAGCGGGGGGAAAACGCGACGGGCAGCAGGGGGGAGGAAGGTCGCTACGCTACACGAGTAGGGGATCGGCGGAACGGGCGGTAACGAAGGAACGGGACGAGAGCGGGCCGGCGCTAGGCTCGGGCAAGACGTGCGCAACTAGTAGTACGAGAGAGGGAGACAGGCTCGGGCGATACGAACGAGGTCGGGAGGAGCGGGATCCCACAGGATAAGAACCTAGGTGATACCATGTCAAACTGAGGAATGAATGATGCATTGATGTTGGTTTGGGGTATATATGACAAACCCTAACTTTGGTACCCCCTAAGACAAACCTCACTATAGGCTACAACATTTGACACCATGCTGCTTATCCCATGGGCCACAGCAGAAGCATCGACAGGAGCAATCAGTCTGGCGACCAGCCTTGCACTCCCACATGCTACAATCACAAGCTACAATCCGCTATTCACATGCGTACGTGCAGGAGACTCGGGTGTCACTTTTGGGAGATCTCATACATGACACGTGCTTCACTCCATTCGTCGAGTGGGTGAAATTTGCGAGGGACTTTGGAATCGTCCCAATGAAGCACATATGTTCCAGCCTGCACGGGGGAGCAGAAGGGAGGAGATGGGGTGGGGGGGAGGATTCACAGGAAGTGAGCCTCCAAAAACAGGCAGGGCAGGAACTGAGTCCTTCACAGAGCGGCCGGGGGATAGTGCCTAGACATAGCAACAGGGGATAGTGCCTAGACATAGCGACAGGGGATAGGGCCTCGGCAGAAGGGCAGGGGGCTGGGCCGAAACATGAGCATTGGACTGCCCCTTGGGGCGGGCCCGGTTTGTACGCGGCGGGGGGGCTTAGGTTTCTCCGTGTTGGGGCCATCCTTGCAGGCCCTGGCAGGGCAAGCTCATGCTGCAGGCGCGTCGACAGAGCTGAGGGAGAGAGCTGGGGGGGAGGGGGAGAGAGCTGGGGGACACAGCTGTGTGTTTGTAGGGGGAGGAGGGGTGGGGAGGGAGAGGGGAGGGGGGAAGCCATGGTGGGGAGTGGGTGGGCAAGGAAGGATGAAGCAACAAGGGAGGGAATGGGATTAGGGCGGGGAGAGGTGACCACCATAGTACCCACCCAAGATGGGCTGGACAAGAGGGGGAGAACACTCTGGCTTCTGGTTTGTAGCCTGTGCCCCATACAAGCAAGGCAGTTGAGAGCTTGAGAATGGTCGGGAGAATAGAGTGCCAGGCGTTAAATGAGTCAGGCGTTAAATGAGTCAGGCGTTAAATGAGTCAGGCGTTAAATGAGTCAGGCGTTAAATGAGTCAGGCGTTAAATGAGTCAGGCGTTAAATGAGTCAGGCGTTAAATGAGAGCGCAGATTTGATTCTGTAGAGGCAGGTTTGATAGTAGGCGAGAGGACCCAATGGCGGCTTCATCAGGACCCTGCCCCCCCCTCCCCCAATGACGCCTGGGCAGGCAACAGCGACCAACGTGAGCAGGCTGGACACACGACACGTGAGATTGTCCTCGGAGACCTCCTCTCGGTCCAAAAGCCCTTCTGGCCCTTCATCACCGCAATGGGCCTTCAGCTGGGCTTAACACCGGTGAAACTTAGAGTGCCCACCTGCTCAAGCCACCTGCTCAAGCCACCTGCTCAAGCCACCTGCTCAAGCCACCTGCTCAAGCCACCTGCTCAAGCCACCTGCTCAAGCCACCTGCTCAAGCCACCTGCTCAAGCCACCTGCTCAAGCCACCTGCTCAAGCCACCTGCTCAAGCCACCTGCTCAAGCCACCTGCTCAAGCCACCTGCTCAAGCCACCTGCTCAAGCCACCTGCTCAAGCCACCTGCTCAAGCCACCTGCTCAAGCCACCTGCTCAAGCCACCTGCTCAAGCCACCTGCTCAAGCCACCTGCTCAAGCCACCTGCTCAAGCCACCTGCTCAAGCCACCTGCTCAAGCCACCTGCTCAAGCCACCTGCTCAAGCCACCTGCTCAAGCCACCTGCTCAAGCCACCTGCTCAAGCCACCTGCTCAAGCCACCTGCTCAAGCCACCTGCTCAAGCCACCTGCTCAAGCCACCTGCTCAAGCCACCTGCTCAAGCCACCTGCTCAAGCCACCTGCTCAAGCCACCTGCTCAAGCCACCTGCTCAAGCCACCTGCTCAAGCCACCTGCTCAAGCCACCTGCTCAAGCCACCTGCTCAAGCCACCTGCTCAAGCCACCTGCTCAAGCCACCTGCTCAAGCCACCTGCTCAAGCCACCTGCTCAAGCCACCTGCTCAAGCCACCTGCTCAAGCCACCTGCTCAAGCCACCTGCTCAAGCCACCTGCTCAAGCCACCTGCTCAAGCCACCTGCTCAAGCCACCTGCTCAAGCCACCTGCTCAAGCCACCTGCTCAAGCCACCTGCTCAAGCCACCTGCTCAAGCCACCTGCTCAAGCCACCTGCTCAAGCCACCTGCTCAAGCCACCTGCTCAAGCCACCTGCTCAAGCCACCTGCTCAAGCCACCTGCTCAAGCCACCTGCTCAAGCCACCTGCTCAAGCCACCTGCTCAAGCCACCTGCTCAAGCCACCTGCTCAAGCCACCTGCTCAAGCCACCTGCTCAAGCCACCTGCTCAAGCCACCTGCTCAAGCCACCTGCTCAAGCCACCTGCTCAAGCCACCTGCTCAAGCCACCTGCTCAAGCCACCTGCTCAAGCCACCTGCTCAAGCCACCTGCTCAAGCCACCTGCTCAAGCCACCTGCTCAAGCCACCTGCTCAAGCCACCTGCTCAAGCCACCTGCTCAAGCCACCAGCTCAAGCCACCTGCTCAAGCCACCTGCTCTCGACACCCACCGCTCCTGCCTGCTCAAGCCACCTGCTCCTGGGACCCAAACGACTCGCCTGCTGCACCCAGCCTACCCGCTGCAGGTCCTATCCCTTCCTGACCCGGCCACACGGCCCCGCTTGCTCCCCCTTGCCCGAACAGACTATGCCATTCTGCAATCGCTCGTAGGTCCCTGCAATGCGGACAGCCAGGCCAGGCTGCTGAAAGAAGCCCACCATGCCGGCCCACCATGCTTCTATCAGCCTGTGCACACTGATGCGAGCAAAGCTGGCCTGGCAGCCTGCGCGCTGCTGCCGGCCTTCAACCCCAGTCGGTGATCTGCACGTGCGCCAGCCAGAGAAATGTGGGGAAGTGGTGTAGGCGAGAGGGATGGGGAAGAGGCGTGGGAGAGGGGCGTGGGGAAGGGGTAACGAAGACAGGGGTGGCAAAGCACAGTGGAGAGAACCCCTACAATTTGCTTCTTATACCTCACGCTTCTGAACCCTTGCCCCCATATTCCCCCCATCGCCTCATACCCCCTTTCCATTCCATATCACCCGTATCCCCTTGTCCCCTGCCCTCGCTCACCCGTAGGCGCAGCAACTCGCGCATGTCCTGTGCCAGCTTGATGGGAGGGAGTGTCGCCCTATAGCCCCACGTCGGTGATTTGCGCGTACAGTGACAAGCGCTGCCTTTTGAGTCGACTCAAAAGTCACCTCTTTACAGTGACAAGCGCTGCCTTCCGGATCTCACTGATTCTCTGATGCTGGCTCCTCCTAGCAGGGACCGGGCGAGGAGCGAGAGGGAAGGGAAGAGACCGGGAGTAGGAGGGAGGGGGGGATGGGTTTGAAATAGGTGCCAGGGAGAGACTTCAGGAAGGGGCGTCAGGGAGGGCGGACGTGCGCTGCCCACCAGATTCCACTGCCTCCTCGGGGGCTGCCTCTTCTCTACTTGTGGGAGAAAGGGTTGGGGGATAGGCGTGGCAGAGGACAAAGGAGGACTTCCTGTCTCCCCTCATCCCCTGCTCTCACACACCCAAAGGCGCGGCCACTCGCGCATGTCCTCCGTCTCCCCGAATTCCCTCTTTCCCTCCTCGTTGGTCCCCCATCGCTTACTTGTATCATGCACACAATCATCCCTTGTCCCACGGCTCACCCGTAGGGCCACTCACGCATGTTTGCGCCAGCACACGCAGCACCATGGGGTCTGATGGCACACGGTCTTCGCACACCTGCGGCAAGGGGGGGAAGGAGAACACGGAGGGGAACGGTCACGGAGGTTGACAGGCACGGAGGGGAGGGAAAGGGCGGGGGTGTTTTGAGACGTGGAAATAGAAGCTTCCGCAGAACCATGCGGTGTGCTGGCATGCGGTGTGCTGGCATGCGGTGTGCTGGCATGCGGTGGGCTGGCATGCGGTAAGCTGGCATGCGGTGGGATTGGTACAGATGGGAAGGGCGAGGATGGTACTGGGAAGGGCGGAGACAGTACAGACGGGAAGGGCAAGGATGTTTTGAGTCGTTTTAACACTGGCTTGTACAGCACCATGCAGAAGGGAGGTGAGCTTAGCGCACAATCATGAAGACGGGCAATGGCGACTAAGGACGGACAGCGATTGATAACGAAAGGCAAGGACCGACAGTTATTGACATGACCCACGATCACAGACAGCTATGGCGAGAGCGCGCGCGCTCCTCCTGCACCGTCAAGCCGCAACGCTCCTTGAGCAGCTTGATGGTCTGCATGAGAGGAGCTGGGGGTGTGAGCTCGCTGATTTTGTAGGATGTAACGGATTCAAAGTACAGCGATAACTGGGCTGGGCTCGCCACAACGTGATTGACAATCAGAATGTAGTAGCCTCACGGCATCGAGCTCGACTCACATGAGCAACTGCTGCTCGGAATCTTGTCCGATAGTGGGGCTTAGATCACACCGAATGTTATGTGAAAACAGTGAATTTTAACGGCATGAAGGGAAATTGATGCGGGAAAAGAATACATTATCGGCGACTGACCGCGCGACAAAAGCACAGTTTGGTAGGACTGGGTCGGCGCGTGGACGCGAGCTGGATGGGGGAACGGGATGGGGGAACGGGATGGGGGAACGGGATGGGGAACGGGATGGGAAACGGGATGGGAGAAATCAGATGTGTGGCATGATGGGATGGTAAGCCCGACAGCACGCACCTCCCTTATGCGGTGTGCAGCATTAGAGCCATGAGCCGTGCGAGCTTGCTTGCACCCTGCACCAGCCGCTTGAAAGGGCGTCCCCACCTCCACGGAGCGGCGAGCCATCACTGCGTGCGTGCAGCAGTATCTTGTTTACCTTCTGATCGATGCTCGCCTCCAACCCCGCCACCGCCGTCCCCGCCTCACTCAACTCAACGCTGATTTCAGCTCCTCTTCGCGCCTCTTCGCCCTCATTTCTGGACCTTCAGTTAATTTCCTCTCGTCCTCTCTTTTCCTATTCACCTCTTCCTCTCCCACTCTCATCCTTCCTTCTTCTCTCATTCTGTTCCTCTCTTCCTTCCTCACCCTCTTCCTCCCTCTCTCATCCTGTCTCGTACTACCTCTCTCCTCCTTTCGTACACTCTCACTCCCTTTATCTCTTCCTCCCTCAACCTCCCACACTCTTCCTCTCATTCCCTCTCGCATCTCACCCTCCTCTCTTCCTCTCATTCCCTCTCGCATCTCACCCTCCTCTCTTCCTCTCATTCCCTCTCGCATCTCACCCTCCTCTCTTCCTCTCATTCCCTCTCGCATCTCACCCTCCTCTCTTCCTCTCATTCCCTCTCGCATCTCACCCTCCTCTCTTCCTCTCATTCCCTCTCGCATCTCACCCTCCTCTCTTCCTCTCATTCCCTCTCGCATCTCACCCTCCTCTCTTCCTCTCATTCCCTCTCGCATCTCACCCTCCTCTCTTCCTCTCATTCCCTCTCGCATCTCACCCTCCTCTCTTCCTCTCTCTTACTCTCCTCCATCTGCCAAGCCTCTCCGCCAGTCTCGTCGTCACGCCAACCTCTACGGCGCGCAGCGAGCACCATCGGCTCACGCCCATCGGCTCACGCCCATCAGCTGCTCCAACGACAGCTCCTCCTCGCTCCCCGTTCCTCCGCCCATCGTGCCGCTCGCGCGCATCGCCACGTCGACCTGCCGCCTCCGCGCATACTACATTCCGCCTCCGCCGAACTCCCTCGATTCCCCACCCCCCGCCTCTGCCATTTCCCAGTTCTCTGCCGTTGCGCCCTTTTCAGCACAGCATCTGCACTTTCTGCGCTGCGCCTCGCCGCGCAAATCTTCTCATCTGTTCTTTGCGGATGCCCTCGGGCAAAAGGAAAGGTATTTCTGCGCTACATACCCCGAATGCGTTGCTTCTACTGCACCTTGTTCCTTCCAGGGCCAGAAAGGCGGCCTTGAAATGCGACCCTGAAAAGTGGCTCTGAAATGCGATCTTGAAATGCGACTGGTGTGCCGCAGCGGCGAGGAACTAAGTGGGAGTGACGATCAGAGGCAAATAAAACAACATTACTTTCTGATTGAGAGTGAAACATTAGCTTGGGAGAAAGGGAAGCCGGGGCGGGAAGTGATAGGGCGAAGGTGTGGGGGAGGGGCCAAGTAGCGGTTTTGCTGTGGCACAATTTAGGTTTTGGTACAGTTGTGTCAAGCCGTCACAACCCTTCTCACTTTGACTCACAAACGAGTACTAGGAATGTGGCGAGCGCTGCAGTTGCTCGCCACTCCGTTTCGCTTTCGCCCAAAACAACCTGTCGAAGTTTTTTTTAACACCACCTTCGCCAACACCTTCTGCGGCTCAGGACCTTGGGATTTGGAAACCAACCATTCTGACTTCAGCCAAAAGACAAGATTTCTCATCAGGCGATGGGATGGTGTTTCAGCCATGGCAACATCGAAACTGGTCACTGAACAACAATCTAGGTCCTCTCCATCGAGTCGATCTAGGTTACATCAGCAGATCGTCAAGTATTATTTCACACCCGATTAGTCTTGTGCGAAAACGGACTGTTGGATCGCACTTTCCAGTCACATCTTCATTGGACTTGGCTTTTCCATGGCAACATCCAACGTGTTTTAGAGGACGCAACCACGGTGGGATATTAGCAGCGTATGCGATTAGAATGAACTGTCCAGCACTTTTCTACCCCATGAGACTAAACGTGATTGATGCTTCGGCGGAACGATGGTCACAGTTGACGGAGCCTCGCTTGCCTCGAGCAATGAGAACGCGTCGCACAGTGTCGGATGAATCGCAAAGAGTCGCATGGGTGGAGAAGTTGCCCGATGACAAAATCTGATTGGTTTCACAGCTTCAGCTTACCCGGGACCGATTGAGCGTGTAACCGGCCGTTTCCGTTCCAGAGAAATCGACAGATCTGAATTAGCAAGTTACTGCTTCAACGGGAAACTAGCAGTTTTATTTGAATACAGCATCTCCCGTCATGTCGTTCGGCGATATCAATTTCGGCGAGTCCGCAGATGTTCACGAATGAAATCCCTCCATTTGGTCCCAACAGCTTCGGAACTTAAGACGAACGCGGCACAGGTAGATGTCTCTTACTGCTGCTCCTGACAAACTTCTGTTATCGGATTTCAACCAACTATTTTAGTCCCACCTGCACTACTGCTGCCTGCTACGCGACACGTCAGCAGCATTTAGGTCATGGTAAAGCGGCAGAGCAAGCTTTCACAAATTTGAAGCAACAGGTTCGTTCGTGATTCTTGGGCAGCAAATTTGCCGTTTCCTGGCTTGGCAATTGAGCAATCCAAGCTCAGTGCAGGTACAACCAGCAACGATTCCTCACTGGAAAAAGTGCTTGGGTAAGGGCGAGCGAAATCTGTTCAGCTTGGGGAAGCTGCCGGTGTTGAATCTGCTACTGGTGTGCATCATCCTTCGTTCCCTCTCACTCCGTCGAATCCTGTTGCTACGTTTGTTGGTTACTTCACCCAACTAGATCCCACCATGCCTAGTACCAAGGAAGATGAGAGGCACAAGCCAATGAGAGGAGCCCCGACAGGAACTGGCGGAGCAGCGCTGAATTCCAGTGATTCTGATGCTGTCAGTCGCAAGGGCAAGGAAGAGGAGAAGGAGGGTGCTGCCAAACATGAACAGTGGTTAGAGCTTCAAGAATTGGAAGAGCGGCTGCAAGTTCTGTATGCCTTGCTGGGGGCAGGACGGTACGAGCAGGGTGGACAAGGTCAATCCACTGCCGCAAACAGAGGGGAAGCAGAGTAGGCAGCAGAGGAAGAAGAGGATTATGACGCGAAAATAGCACCCTTGGTGCAGTTCATTATGAAATTGGAAGAGCGCATGAAAAAACCTGGGGTGTTGCAAAGCGCACATGGTTCTACAGTCCAGAATGACCCGGATGGAGCGGGACAACCCACTGGAGCAACCGGAGGAGCAGCAGGGAAAGCATTAGTGGAGGAAAGTACAAAGCCACTTCAGCTACTGTCTCAGGCGGACATGGTTCACTACTTGAACGTGACAAGCGGGTGGGATGAGGATCTCTGTGAGTGCTGCTTTGAGCGTGCAGTGAGCCAGCGAGCACAGCGAGCTCTTGCCATGAAGAACCTGGAGGACTTGCGTCGCCACCTGCGCCAGCTGCAGCCTCGTTCCATCCCCGCAGCAGATCCCAAGCAGCAGCAGCATCATGCAATGTCTTCTCAAGTGCTATTTGCGTGGAAGGCCGACAAGGTGCCTCGCCTTTGCGCAGAACGGATGTTTCTCGAGTGGATGGCTGAGCCTGGTGTGGGTGTGCTCATGAACCTGCAGAAGATCAGATCTCGCCTGCCTGCTATTCTAGATGCAACAGCTACTCCGGCTGCCCCTGTTGCTGCCCCTGTTGCTGCCCTTGCTGCTGCCCCTGCTTTTCCTGCTGCTCCTCCTGCCCCTGCTGCTTCTACAGCGTGGTCGTGCTGCTGGCGCTGCAGCAGCTGCTGGGCTGCCTACCGCCGTGCTGTCAACGTCTCAACGTTCCTTGTGCTTGTGGCGAGATCCCCTCGCATTGTGACTCTGTGGAAAGCTCACTTGGTCTCGTCTTCGTCTGCCTGGCCAGCAATAGTCACTGAGCTGGGGGGGAGCAGGCAGGGGGAGATTGACAATTTTGCTTCCATGCTGGTGCAGGTGCTGGGGGTGAAGGAAAGTGCTGATCTAAAGGAAGGGTTTGGGTTCTTCGTGCAGCAACTGCTGTCAGGCGGGCTGGAGAAGGCGCATGCAGAGGGGAAGGGGGGAGGTGGGGGCAAGGCTGCTGAGAAGGTGCATGGGAAGGGGAAGGGGAAGGTGATGGGGTTGGCTGAGGAGAAGGCTGTCGAGGAGACGTATGGGGGGGCGAAGGGCATATGCGAGGCTTCACATGGGAAGGAGGATAGGAGACACGGAGAGGAAGAGGCAGGGAGCAAGGTAACGATGGATGGGGTTGTTGGCACGTGGGGGAGGGCACAAACTGACGAGAAGTGGAGGGCGCATTTGAAGGGACGTGTGTGGGAGAGGTATGTGGATGGCATGAAGTGGATTCTTGAAAATGGTGGGGGGGAAGGGAGGGAGTTCCGGTGCAGCCCCTGCAGTGAGGGGGGCAGAACCAGCAGAAGCAAAATCAGCAGTTGTGGTAGCAGCAGTAGCTGCAGCAGTGCTCCGAGGGGTATGCATGTGAGTGGTGTAAATGCGACCGATTTCGCCCTTGCTGTGAGCACGGTATTATCTAAACCAGAGCACTGGATGGATGCATGGTTGTTCTTCCATGATGGGAACAATTTGAACAAGATGAAGGTAGAGAATGCAGCTGTTGAGGTGGCCAGGAAGAGGCTGCTGCATTGCCTGGAGCAGACAACGGGGATGGATGGAGAAGAAGGGGCAGATGCAGGAGCGGCCCTGCCTAGTGCAAACTCTAGACTCGTGCCTGTCAATACAGACCCGCTGGTTGCTGCACTCACCTATCGAGTTGGTTGCATATTGCAGTGGATCCGGGTCTACGGCTCAGATTCCATCTCGGAGAAACAGTGCTTTATAAACGGCCCTCAGAGCAAGGTCAGGCCCATGCGCCATCCGCTTCGGGACCTTCCTAGCCTTCTGGTCAGGTTCGGCGCCATCCCGAAGCCTCTAGAGGGAAGCAGCATTGCTTTGGAGTGGGAGGAGTGGCCTGCAGGCGAGGAAGCTGCTGTGAAGTTTCCTGTGAACCGCAAGGAGAGGTGTTTTGGGCTTGGGATAGTGGAGGAGCGTGGTGAAGCAGCTGAGAAGCTGATTGGGCATCCTTGTCAGGACACATCTGAAGCAGGAGGGGACAGCAGGCGTGCAAAGGAGAAAGGATCCAATGCAGAAGGCCAAGGAGGTAGCCAGGAAGGAGAATGGAGCATGGCGCGTGGGATAGCTGAAGCAGGAGGGGGCAGCAGGAGTGCAAGGCGGAGAGTGGCCAAGGCAAAAGAGCAAGGAGCTTGGGAGGAATCCATACAGAGCAGAGCGCGTGGAAGAGCAAAAGCATCTGGGAACGACGACCCCCAAGAAGGAAGCTTCCTATTGTTCGCTGCGAGGCAGATGTGGACTTCCTGGTGGGGTTTGCTGGGTATGTCATGCACCCTCCTGCATGCACCCAGTGCAGCACCTGCTCCGCGGAATTCGTGCAACAGGTGTGCATAGCTGCTCTCATCGCCAACTTCGCCTACCGCCCCGTCAGCCATCTGTTCTCCCGCGTGCTCTCTGTCTTCCCTCCCTCCTCCCCTGGCTTCGACAAGCTGGTTGAATGCCTGGAGCTCCCCGCACGCCTGCCCAGGCCGTTGAACCTGCAGATGCTGCTGAGACGAGCGGAGCAGGTGCCTCTGTACTTCCTCATTCACATGGCCGTGTATTGCGCTCGCCCTCTTCTGAATCTTGATTGTTCTGAGGGAGGGTACAGTGAGAAAGGGCAGGGAGTGGAGTCAGGTGCACGAAAAAAAGGAGTGAAAAGGCAAAAGGAAAAGGAAGAGGAAAAGGCGGCGGAAATGGGAAAAGGTGGCAGTGTGAAGGTGCAAGGCTGCTGGGATGGTGAGATGGATCAGGCGAACGGTGGAGAGGTGTGGGAAGAGGTGGAAATATGGTACTTTGCAACAATGAAGACATGGATGTCGAAGCTGAGGGTTCAGGGAGGGAGTGAGGAGTGCAGCGGCAGCAGAGAGCGGGGGAGGCCTACAGGGGGTTTCGACATCACGTGGGCTCTTGCAGCGGCGATCATCCCGAGATACTGTGAGGGGTTGCAGGGGCAGCGAAGGTCTGCCATGGGGAGCAGCAACAAAGGCAGCAGTAGCAACGGCGGCTGTGAGAACAAGGGCAAGAAGGGGGAGGAGCCGGCTTACCTGAGGCCGTGGCCGGGGGGAGTGAATCTGGTGGCATGTCTGCGAGAGATGCTGCTGGGGGAGCCGTGCTACCGCCCTGCCTCCCCTGCTGCCCCTTCCGTCCATGCTACTGCTTCCACCCATCCTGCTGCTTCCACCCATCCTGCTGCTTCCACCCATCCTGCAGATAGCATCCGTGCTGCATCTGCTGCTACCACTGCTGCTGCTTCAGGTGTCCAAGGCCGTGTGTGCGGTGCTGCGGGATGTGGGACGGTGGAGGGTGGCGGAGTGAAGCTGAGGAGGTGCGGTGGGTGTGGCAAGGTGGCGTATTGCAGCAGAGAGTGCCAAAAGGCGCACTGGCCCTCCCACAAGCTCACATGCCCCGGCAGGACCAGCGGGAAGAAGAATGGGAGGGATGGGAGCGGGGTTGGGAGCAAGGATGGTCGCATGAAATTTGGCAAGGAGAGTGATTGTGAGGGTTGCGGTGAGAGAGGAGGTAAGGAAATATGCGGGCAGGTTAAAAAGATGATTGACGAGTTCCGTTGCATGGGCAGGTACAAGGACAGTGCTAGGTCTATGTGTGAAAGCGTCAGTGAGGAAAGCTTGAAGGTTGGTGGCAAAGTTGAGAAAGGAAAGGAATAGAGAAGGAAGGTGGGGGTAGAGGAGAGGGAAGGGAAGGGGGAGAATACAGAGGGACTATGATAGAGGAATCACAATGAGTACATTTATTCTTTGGCTTTTGATTAATGAATGTTTCATTGCCATTACATGCCAACATGCTGCATAGCAGACATCAACAAGAGAAAATATCACAGTTCTGGAATATTTGGATATAAATCAATTCTCCCCGTCTGATGCTGCGATTAGGTTGGTTGGGATGCAATCAGGCATGAAATTCAATCCAGAGATGTGCCCACCCGCCGTCAGCCTTCAGTGATGTGCACCCCTAGACCCTGCTCTGCACTGTATTGCACCACCTCACTGCATCTTCATCCTTCCACAGAGCATCGTCTGAACGTCGCCGTGAACAATTGGTGTGGGATGTGAGAGGGGCGTTCATGAAAAGGCAGAACAATAAAGACTTGTGGGATTGGAGCATGCACGGCCAGAAAAGGAAGCGTTTGGCTCGGTTTGTGTAAAAAAGGCGTGAGAGAGGAGAGGAGCGTACTGATCAGACATAAATCCCCGCCAAAACGCTAATTACCCCATCATCGCAACACCCAGCATCACACAATGACACCAACACAGAACACACCGGCACGTTGACTTGTTGGAAGATAATTACTCTTACTTTATACTAACCACCATCCCAGCACACCATGACCCACCACCCCATCACCCACCACCCCATCACCCACCACCCCATCACCCACCACCCCATCACCCACCACCCCATCACCCACCACCCCATCACCCACCACCCCATCACCCACCACCCCATCACCCACCACCCCATCACCCACCACCCCATCACCCACCACCCCATCACCCACCACCCCATCACCCACCACCCCATCACCCACCACCCCATCACCCACCACCCCATCACCCACCACCCCATCACCCACCACCCCATCACCCACCACCCCATCACCCACCACCCCATCACCCACCACCCCATCACCCACCACCCCATCACCCACCACCCCATCACCCACCACCCCATCACCCACCACCCCATCACCCACCACCCCATCACCCACCACCCCATCACCCACCACCCCATCACCCACCACCCCATCACCCACCACCCCATCACCCACCACCCCATCACCCACCACCCCATCACCCACCACCCCATCACCCACCACCCCATCACCCACCACCCCATCACCCACCACCCCATCACCCACCACCCCATCACCCACCACCCCATCACCCACCACCCCATCACCCACCACCCCATCACCCACCACCCCATCACCCACCACCCCATCACCCACCACCCCATCACCCACCACCCCATCACCCACCACCCCATCACCCACCACCCCATCACCCACCACCCCATCACCCACCACCCCATCACCCACCACCCCATCACCCACCACCCCATCACCCACCACCCCATCACCCACCACCCCATCACCCACCACCCCATCACCCACCACCCCATCACCCACCACCCCATCACCCACCACCCCATCACCCACCACCCCATCACCCACCACCCCATCACCCACCACCCCATCACCCACCACCCCATCACCCACCACCCCATCACCCACCACCCCATCACCCACCACCCACCACCCCATCACCCACCACCCCATCACCCACCACCCCATCACCCACCACCCCATCACCCACCACCCCATCACCCACCACCCCATCACCCACCACCCCATGACCCACCACCCCATCACCCACCACCCCATGACCCACCACCCCATGACCCACCACCCCATGACCCACCACCCCATGACCCACCACCCCATGACCCACCAACACGTGAGCTGTCGGAACATGGTCACTCCCCGCCGCGCATCCATCAGTGCGAGGTTCTGCAGTGTCGACTCGACACTGCCACCGCTCTAGGTGAGGGGCATCGGTAAGAACAGTGGATGGTAAGACGGAAGAGACGATTGGAGGAGGGAGGAGTGCGAGCAGATAGAGCGAATGAGAAAGTGAGTGCGAGTCACGAGCCTTTTTAGCTGCACCTCCCCAGCTGCACCTCCCCAGCTGCACCTCCCCAGCTGCACCTCTCCAGCGACCATTCAGTGGGGCCACCACCAGCACATGCACCAACCCATCCCCACCTCTTCCTCCGATAGTGCTGGCCTCATACCATCCCATTCCATCCCATACCATCCCATCCCATCCCATTCCATCCCATCCCATCCCATCCCATCCCATCCCATCCCATCCCATCCCATCCCATCCCATCCCATCCCATCCCATCCCATCCCATCCCATCCCATCCCATCCCATCCCATCCCATCCCATCCCATCCCATCCCATCCCATCCCAACCCAACCCGCCCCGCCCCGCCCCACCCCACCCCACCCCACCCCACCCCACCCCACCCCACCCCATCCCATCCCATCCCATCCCATGCACATCCTATCCCCTCCCCTCCCCTTTTCCCCCCTCCCCTCCCCTCCCTACAACCCACTGCGCCCATGCAATCCGTCTGCCACGCACCTGACAGCCAATCCGCTCAAGCTGTGGATGTCCGTGCCAGCACCAGCACAAGCGGCATGTCCACCACCAGCACGTCCAGCCGCCCCCACTCCGCCCCCCTTACAAGCTTCTCCACTCCGTCTCCCTTACAAGCTTCTCCACTCCGTTCCCTTACAAGCTTCTCCACTCCGTCCCCCTTACAAGCTTCTCCACTCCGTCCCCCCTACAAGCTTCTCCACTCGGTCCCCCTTACAAGCTTCTCCACTCCATCCCCCTTACAAGCTTCTCCACCACCGCCATCACCACTGGTCACGCTACACAGTGGCGACGTGCGCAGGCACGAGGAAGACAACGAGGAGCTCATGGGCATGCAGAGCGGCAGCATGCGCGCGTGGGGGGTGGTCGAGGCGAGCAGGGGGGGGCCGGCAGTCTTTAAGCCCAGCGAGCAGGGGGCAGCCGGTGATGGCCAGGGCGAGCAGGTTGGGCAATGAGGGGCCGATCACGCCGGCGTTTAGCAGCCCCGCCTGCAGACGCATGTGACGGTGAGGGACACTGCCAGGTTCACTGGGGGGGCGGAGGATGTGGGACAGGGAGATGGGGGAATGGGGGGAGCAGGGATGGGGGAGGGGGGAGGGGATAGGTAGGGGGAATGGGGGAAGGGAGGGAGTGGTATGAGGGGGAATAAAGGATGATATGATAGGAATGAGGTCAGAGGCATGTGGTGAGATGTATGGGGTGAGAGGTATGGGGTAAGATAGAGACATGGGATGAGAGGCATGGGGTAAGAGGCATGGAGCAAGAGGAAATCAGGGGAATGAACGGGGTGAGGTGCATGGGGTGACTGGTGCGTGAAAAGAAGGAGACAGAGGTGAGCAAGGCGTGTGTGGAAACCCGTGGACATGCAGACGAGGCGGTGACGCAATGAGGCGGTGAGGCAGTGAGGCGGTGAGTGAGGCGCACTGGCAGTGGTGGACTTGCCGACGCCGCCTTTGGCAGACGCCACACCCACAACGTACTTCACCCACGTCAGCAACAGGCTGTCGTCGCCGGCGCCCCCGCGGCCACTGCAGCTTCTATCGTTGCTGCACCTGGTACCCCTGCAGCTGTCATGTGGGGTCTAGATAACCCACCAGTGCTACGTAGCGCGCTGCTGCAAGTCATACTGCAGGGGAAGGCACCTATGCTGGCAATACGCACAGCACTGTTGCTGTCTAGCGAGCTGCTGCGGGTGGTACTGCGACGGAAGGCAGGGGAAGGAAACCGGCCCAGCTTGGGACCGGCGTGCGCGTGCTATTATTTGCGGGGAGGTGACGGCAAGCCATGCCTGTAACGCCACCCAGCCATACGTCACCTCAGCAGGACAGCCCTCGTGCTCTTAGCAGGAAGCACCTGCTTGGTTACCTGCTGGTGGCGAAGGCTAGGGCCGTCTGGTCGGCGGAAAAGACGATGATATGGCCGCCCGGACCCACTGCATGCGCGTGCAACACCCAGTTTTCAGCAACTCGCCGTGGCTTGTGAGAGGGTGACATGTAGCATGAGGGGGGAGGGAGTGGAAAGAAATGAGGAAGGCGGTGAAGAGGGTGGACTGGAGGGGAAGGAAAGGGGGGAAAGGGGGAGAGAAGGAGGGGGTTGGATGAGAGAAGGGAGTTTAAATGTCTTCGAATGGGCACATATGAAAGGATATAAAAAAAAACAGGAGTATAAGGAGCAAAAGTTGGTGGGGATCAGGGGAAACATGCACGGGAGAGGAGCAGGGAGGGAGAAGACAATTCTCCCACCAGCGCTGAAGGCGAAGGCGAGGAAGGCCATGCTGATCGCCATTGGACCCACCATCGCCAACTTCTCACTGCAGACCGGCGCCTGCGATGCTCGCGACGTTGCCTTGCGCCGTGCGGCTGCGGCGACACGGCGCTACGACTTTCTCGGCACTCGCGGAGCAGCTATGGACGCCCGTGACGCTCGCTCGACTCGCTGCCGCCAATCCGTAGCATTAAGGATGTCGGCCAGCAGTATTAGGGCTAATACTGAGTCAACTCATACGCAATTCAGATGACTGGGCAAATCTGACGTTCCTTTTGAGACCATCCTTCGAGAATACCTCACATAACAGTTACGGAAGGGCCGAGGAAGGAAACATGGGCATAGCAGAGGCCCATTTCGCTGGGGGGAGCAAGAAATTGGCCGGAAGCTGCGGGAGGGAGGGCGGGAAAATAGCGTACCCGCCGTCAATTGCGCATTCGTGCTTCTCGCGACGGCGGCGGCGTCGTCACGCAGGGGGATTGTGCGATGTAGAGGAGGCGAAGAAGGATGGGGCGGGGGAGGAGGGCGAGAATGACTCATGATTCGGACGTTACCATGTTCTTACTCCCATAGCTAGTAGGGATTCAACGATGAGCATCACAAGTTAGTCTACCTTATCGCTAGGCCGCTTTGACGAATCTAGATCAGGAGCGGGCTGAGCGGCGGGACGACGGGCTGAGCAGATAGGTTGCAATGTCGCAGTATTTGTTCTTTGTATGCTAGGGGCATTTTTTATGGCTGTAGTGCTCATTAGGACGCGGCACCTCTAGAAAATTTGCACGATCGATCCCAGGGTCGCTGATTCCACCGCACTGAACTCCTGTTAAAACATTTAACTCATCCAACACCATTTTGAACTCCTGAAAAAATCGATCCTGAGCAGGATCGATCGCAGGGTCGGTGCTAGAGGTGCCGTGTCCTTAGGGTTTCGTGGAGTTCCGTTATTGCGAGAGCGGATGAAGAGGTCGGAGTTCGTCAAACAGGGTCAGTCGGTGTCCTGATTTGTCTGACTCGCAGACTTGGCGAGATTTCTGGCAGCTCGACACGCCCTGCTGGCATGCCACGCCACCATCGAAAACGTGGTCACCTTGGAATTCGCGAGAGAAGGGTAACTTGACGATACGTTCGCATTTGTCGATACGTCCACAGTCCACGGCTAAATGGGAGGTCGCAACTCGCAAATTCCACTTCGTCAGCGATGTTCAGCGATCGACTGCCGCTACGTGGCTGCGACAGGTTGGCCAATCTCAGCCACGCAGAAAATTGTAAAGCAATCTTGGCAGGAAACTGGGACTCTTCAACTCCCACCCTCACCTCCCTACCAAACTCTTTTCCTCTAGTTTCATTTCCTTTCTTAGCTTCCTCTCCTTAGATTCCTCATGTAAGTTGACGTCTCTGCACTCCCGGAGACAGTAATTTCTTGCTTAACCGTCTACATATATTCACGCGTTTCCATTGACGCTTAGAATCACTGCTTCAAGTTGTGCACAGCTTCACAAGCCAGAAATTACCAGTCGTTACTGGAAAGCTCGCCGCACCAATGGCAACAGACGGCGCGGGGCACATCATTCAGCTCGGCTTACTCATCTTTCTGGCGTGTCTCGTAGTGATTTCTCCAGTCCGCTGTGTCCCGTTCGCCGCATCCCAAGGTTCGTCCTTGTAGAACTAACTTGCCCGTTCAGTTGGGGCCACTCCAGTGCAGGTTTTGATATCTTCTTCTCTCTCACCCCCTCAGAAGCAGGGTGTTTCTCCCTCTCCCCTTATTTTCTTTCTCCTACCCCATTGCGGATTCCTCTCTCCTCTGCTTGCCCGGTCAGTGAGGGAGGGGCCTGGATTTTCAGCAGGGGACTTTGATGTGTGGGGTGGCTTGCTGCCATGGGTGGATGCAGCAATGGCAACGGCCTTAGCTCTTTTAAGATTATATTCAGCGCGAGTCACTTGCTAGAGTACCTAACGGAGCTCAGGGATGCTCAACTTCAACCAATGATTACCCCCTCTTTGACCTCCCTTTCCAATTTACGCCTCCTATTATCTTCAGTGGCACCGCCGTTGCCAGCGGATGAATCAGTTGCCCACTGCATGCCCATGCTCCCATGCGCATAACGTTGATCATTGTAGCAGTTTCATTCTCTGAGGTCAGGGGTTTCTGGGTACTTCACCATCAATGTGTCCATTCCACAGTCGTGCGACACAAGCTGATGAGTGCGACACACAGGTAGTGAAGCTCGATCCTTCCTTCCTCCGTTGCCCCACCCACTCTTTCTATCCTTCTTTTGCCTCCTGTCCGCCTCCCCCCCACCATTTTCCGCCAGCTCAAGTCCTGCTGGACTTTCAGCAAGCATGGGGGCGTTATTTCCCTGGGTGGGAGGCTGGGGGGGACTGCAGCTTGGCCTACCATGTGGACTGCGATGACCAAGGCATGGTGACATACATGTGAGAACACCAACACTAGCTGGTCTTGCACCCCCCATGTGTGCACACCAAAATCTTGCTGGCCTTGACTCGGGTGCCTCTGTTTTCCTTCTCGCTCCACCATTCTTCATGCTCTGTATTCGCAGAAATTCTGGTGAATTTCAGCGAGTGAACTTTTGCGGTGCATGCAATTTCTTCATTGTGTGGTTATTTGTGTTACTCTTGCACTCCCTTTCTTCAAGAGCCACTGTTGACACCGTTCCAAACTGACCAGCGAATGCTTGGTGAATTCCTTAGGATAGTCCCTACTGTTTTTGAAGGCATATTGAGGTCAATTACCATGTTTTCTTCAATGAAAGTGTAAACGAACAGGATTAAGCACCATGGAGCAAGTGAACATACTCTATGCAGAGTCTGGAATAACCTCCCATGTTGCATTTATTGGTCAAAGTAACTGGAAAGCAATGGGATCCTACTGAGGAAGAGATTAGGATGAGGCATAGCTCAAGTCATCCGGTCATGCATAAGTCGGAGCACCAGTTGCCGTGCCAAGGGGTATGGCAACAGGTACAGACAGCAACATGTACGCGAGTGAAAGGAGTTCCAATGGGGTTTGTTGTCAAGGGATGTGGAGAATACGGGTGAGTGGAGGAGAAGAGCATCATTCGTGTACACGAGAGGTGTGGGAAGGTTTGCAGTTGCTGGGAGTCTTGCTGGAAAGGCTGCTCAGTGTGCAACGTTCTGTGTGCAGCAAGGTTAAAAAAAACGCCGTTTTTTTGAAAATTTACCGTAAAAAACGGCCGTAAAAAACGGTCTACCGTAAAAAACGGCCGTAAAAAACGGTAAAAAACGGTTCCAGAAGGTGGTTTCGTTCGAAGAAAAAATCAGCCATTTATGGGACAAAATTGATGGCGAAAATCACCAGCATGAAGAGGACAAACACCTCCTTGCATGAGTGCGCTTGTGGGCATGATTGAAAATGTATTTGACCTTGTTTTTCCCTTTTTTTCTTGGTGACGACAGTTTTCTAACAAAAAAACGCCGTTTTTTTGGAAAATTACCGTAAAAAACGGACCGTAAAAAACGGACCGTTTTTTACGAAAACCGTATTTTTCATCCTTGGTGTGCAGCGAGCTGGCCTGGTTCTGGCATGTGCTCACCAACATTTCAGAAACCAACACTCTACCCTTTTTTCAATCGTCATCACAGAACCATACCATCCATTTGTAAACATAGAAACTGAACATACAGATACGGTATGTAGGCTAAACTAGGTGAAAGTGTTGCCTGAGCTTATCATCCCCTTCCCTCCCTTCGATGGCTCACATCGGAAGGAGTTTAGAGGAGAAAAACGCCATCCCTAACGCTCCTCTCAGGTTGCTATCATCTCCATGGACGTAGGTGCAGGTGGACAGAATCTGGCCTGCAACTTCAAGGGCTACTTCTTTGCAAATAATACCCAAAGTTCCTGGATTCACCATACCTCATTTTCTTTCATTCTTGATCTCGTTTATAATGTTCCCTACTCGTTCTATTCCACTGCCCACAAGCAATCTGCCCATCGAAGGCCTAACCGGATCCATTCCAGATTCCATCAGTGACTTGGACAGGCTGAGCTATTTGTGAGTAACAGTAGATTTGGTATGGGTGGAAACATGAAAGCATGATTGTGAGGATGTGGATATGGATGCACTAGTGAGTATGAGAAAGGAATGACCAGTTTCCTACATATGGCCAACTGGTGATAATCCAGGGTGGCCATCAACTGCCAATCAGTGGCCGGCTTGATATGAGCCGAAAGATGGCCCCGTCAGGTTCGTGGCGACCATATTGAGTGGAGGATCCAGTAGAGTGGGGTAGCAAAAAAAAAAGTCAGGAACAGAAATTGTTTCCAACCCTATGGCACTACATCCCCTATGGCAAACCCTCCTTCAGCGTCCAGCCTTGTATAGGAGGAAAGCAAAAATGGAGGGAAAATGGGATATTGTATAGCGATTTTTGTCTCTTTCGTTTTCTGGCCACCCGAAAGATTGGCCACCAGTGAACTAGCCATGCTGGCTTGTGTCGAGCGTCAATATGCATTTTGGCACTGACGTTTAATGAGCATTTTGATTTGATGTTGATGCTTGGTCAAGTTGTTCTTGGGCAGCCTGAAATCGAAACAATAACATAGTGTTTAAAAGTATCGAATCACTATATTCCAACGAAATCGCGACTCCGAGAGCAGCTTCACAAAACACAAATACTAAACCAGCCCCCGCACCACATTATACTGCACTGCGACTGGAAAACCCAACAAGGAACTCACAAAAGCAACGTGACAATCAAAACCCCGACACAAACACAAAACCCCACACCACATTGAACCGCATTGCAACTAGATACCCCAACCAACGAGGCTTTCAGTTTTTAGTTGACATTCTAGAATTGGCATATTAGGAGGCAAGGTTCATGTTTTTGGTCAGCCCATCATGTTAGTGTTAGTCTTCAATCTCACAATTTGTACTTTGTATTTTCTATATCCTAGAGTAGTGTAGTTTGCACATTGTGTTTGGTTGGGTGTACACCTACATCCCAACCAAACCCAAATGTAATCTCCAACCAATCTCCAACCCACCAATTGGAGATTGCCTTGGGATTACCCCCAATCCCTAGAGATTGCCCCCGATTCCCTTCCCCATCCTTTTCCTACCCCTCTTGGATGTACTTAAAGAGCTTCAAGCTCATTACTAATGCATCACTTCTAAGTCTAAGTTCTGACATGGTATCAGAGCCCTTCAACCGCATACGCGGATCGTGATCCTCTTATCTTCGCGGATGTTCGTCCCGCAAACCTCGGCGTAGCCATCGTCAATCTCGTCGCCGGTGATTCGCGACATTCGAAGGCGGAAGTCTTCCCGCGCCTCTTTCCCGTCAATTTCGACGACGACAATCTTTCTGGTAAGCGCATTATCGGTGCTATAACCTATCGCTCATTTTCGTCGTGCGCGCTCGTTTTCGTCGAACGGTTTCGTCGCCCTTCGTCTCCTCGTCGGGCCGCCGCCCGTCGCCCTGCAGCTTCTCGTCGGGCTGCCGCCCGTCGCCCTGCAGCTTCTCGTCGGGCCGCCGCCCGTCGCCCCGCAGCGTCATCTTCGGGCCGACGCCCGTCGCCCCGCAGCTTCACATCGGGCTGCCGCCCGTCGCCCCGCATCTGCACTCCTACCCCTTCCCCCTTCCCGCAGCTGAACAGGTGCAGCAGCGCAGCCGAGCAGCAGTGCAGCCGCGAAGCAGAGCAGTGGTGTAGCCGCGAAGCCGAGCAGCAGCGCAGCCGCGAAGCTGAGGGTGGTGTGTGGGGGGGTGTGTGGGATTAGGGTTTGTTAGATCTACGGAAATCGGCCGATTCGACCTAATTTTGGCGGCCTGAAAAAACCTTCTACGTGACATTTCGACGCGGCCGACATTGACGATTTTCGCCATTCGGGCCCGTCGAAGTTCCTATCGGTGACTTAAGAGCGGCGCTCCGCGCGAGAAGTTAAGAGGTCTCCACTATGGCTCTCTCGTCTTCCACCATGGCGAACCCCATCACCCCGCTCCGCCTTGAAGCTGATGGCTCTAGCTCCAACTTCAAGGCGTGGAGCTACGGAGTTGACAAGCACCTCCTGAGCCGTGACGTGCAGGGCCTTGACCTCAAGGACGTCCTCCTCAACCGTGGCAAGGGGAAACAGCCTACTATTCCCCGTGAGCCGACCGAATCTTCAAGTGATACTGACGTGAGGGCGTACGAGGAGGCTGTTGAGAAGTACCGGAAATGGGAGAAGGCCGATGCTGCCATCATCAGCGTCTTCATCGCCTCCACCCCTCCCGAACTTGTCAACACGTTCCACAACTACCCTACCTCCAACGCCATCTGGAAGTACCTCCAGGATCGGTTCATGAACAAGACGGCGGTCGGCGTGGCCATTCTCATCCCTAGCATGTTTCAGGTCCGCCTTGAGGACTGCTCGGGAATGGCCGACTACATTGCCAAGGTGCAGACCATTCATGGCGAACTCAAGGAGCTGGGTATAGTCTTCCCCGAGCAAGCCCCTGCAGCCGCCCTTCTTGTTGGACTCACCTCGGCATATGAAGTCACGAGGAAGATGCTCCTCACACTCTCAGCAGAAGACCTCACCTTTGCTAAGGTCTCCACCGCACTCCTCTCTGCCGAGAAAGACTCCACGGCTCAGGCCAAGGCGTACGCTATCCGCGCTCCCATGCCTCAAGCAAGTGTCGCAGCGGCTCTCGCCTCGGCGCCCTTCCAGCGCAACCGCTTTCCTCCGTGCCCCTACGTCGTCAAGTATGGGAATCGCAAGGGACAAGTGTGTGGTGGCACTAACCACCCCCTTGCTACGTGCTTCAAGAAGAAAGACGACGAGTGGTATGCCATCCACGGAGTTGACAAGAAGCCGCCGAATTGGATGCGCTCTCGCAAGGCCAACCTAGTTGAGGTCCAGGACCCCGCTTCGGCTAGTGCTAGTGATGCTGCTCCTACTGATGTGCGTATCAACCTGTTGTTCCCTGGCACTGCCATGATTAATGAAGCTACCTCACAGTACATCGGCTCATCACAAGCACCACAATACATAGAGTTCACACTCGATAGCGGGGCCACTCACACCGTGCTCAAGGAGACCTTCTCCTTCAAACCTTACCCAACACCTATCCCTCTCTTAGGAGCTGACTCAAGCTTCACCACCCTCGCCAAGGGTACCTCCACAGTCCCATGCCCCGCCTTCCCATCCGGCACTGTCACTGGCATGTGCGTGCCTTCACTGCGTCACAATCTAGTTGCCCAAACAGAAATTCAGGAGGCGGGGCTACGCACCATCTTCCCAGAGAACGAGGACTATTGCGACATCATCGATCCACGCACCAACAAAACTCTGGCCCGCTACACCCTCAACAGCAACGGCCTCTACACGCTACGCGTCCCTCTCCCACAGGTGTCAACCACCCAAGCACAGGCCACTATCACACCATGCTCATGTCGCACCCTCTCCAAC